AAAAGTTTTTTTCTGGTTTTTTTTTTTTTTTTTTTTGTTCAGCTGGAGAAATTTAAGAACATGATTCCCTTCGATCAGATGACCATCGAAGACCTGAACGAGGCCTTCCCTGAGACCAAGTTAGACAAGGTCAAATATCCTTACTGGCCTCACAAGCCCATTGCAAATCTGTAATCCCATTACCCGGCACTCATGTCCCAATAAAGTTTATGTATTTTAAGGAGAATAATTTATCGCCTCCGTTATTTCACGACATGATGAAAACATTTAGAACACTGCATTGTTTGAGGAGATCCAAATTATGATTTCTCAAGTACACACGGTGGAAAATTAGTGTGTTTTCATCTTTGTTTTAAATATAGTCTAATGAATATAGTTAGAAAAACTCAGTAATGGTGCAGACATGAACATAGTTAATTAAGCTTTTGCAGCTTTGGAAGCCGTTGTTAATATGTGGTGAATTTGTGATGCAACAACATTGATAAGTGGCTTTTCAGGTGAAACTCAAGTGCTTTGCAAAGATAAATAACTCCTGTTAAAAAAAAAAAAAAAAACTTTTCTTTTTAATGGTACAACCTTCTATTTTACACATTTTTGATCATGTAACCTGTGATGTTGAACGATTCTTATTGGTCACATTTCAGATGGTTATACTCTTTGACAGCGCTTTCAGAACTAGTGATTCAGTTACTCTTCATTTTATTACATCTCGTGTTAGAGAAAAATAAAGATATGCAGCTTAACAGTAAAAGCAGAACATTAGGCATTTACTATTTAGCCACATTGGCTGATTTCATAACGAAGCATTATTGACCGAAACTTAATTTTGACTTCTTTCTTAAATCTGTGTGCTGGTAAGGAATATCCTGCTTTGTTTATTTTAATATTTACCCATGTTATTCCAAGCTCCTTTAAAAAAAGTTAGCCACTCTGCCTACAAAAAGTTTAAGTAATTTTATTTTTTAAGTTTATAGCCAATAAATTATCGCATGTAAGGTATTATTAGTATTATTCATGCACAATTTCAAGTGTTTAAAGTGACAAGAAAATACAGAAACAGATTTACATCAGAAACGATGACTACATCCAGAGAATGAGAGGAATTGAATTTAAAGTCCTAATTTAAAGGAGTCAACGGTTTCTTCTCGTTCAGGTCTCAAGCAGTCTGTTTGAGAACTGAGACTAGACCAACTTTGTACCTTTTTGGTCAGTCAAGTGGTGGCACATAACTATAAACTTGTCATAATTTTAGATATTAGGTCATTTTGATGTTGAAGAAAAAAAAATGGTCTGAAATTAACCCCACATGTGATCTTTGTTTGCTCAGTGAGAAATGACATGTTAGTCCTGGTCTGCTAAATAAGATCTGATTGAGTGTAGAGCAGCACCAGGAAATCCCTCCTTTATTTCCAATATATCAATCAAAAATGTTCAGTGTATCAAAGGCAGCACTGACATCCAGAAAAACCAAGACAGAAGTTTTTTTTCCATACATCACTACCAAGATGGCCGTTATTCAAAAACGCTTACCTAAAGTCTCATTGGTGTTGCCTTACCTGACTGGAAAACATTTAAACAGACTTTGTAATCAAAAACGAGTAAATTATGAAAGTCAATGAAGTGCCCACAAGGGGGTGCAATAACTTTAGTTGCAATATAATCTTTTTGCAGTAGGATTAAATTGTATCTTTTTTTCTCACCACGATTCAGTTCATCTTTAATCTTTCACTAACTACAACATATTTCTCTCGATAAACGTGCTTCTTTGGTCTCACACCGTTTAAGGTACCGAATATATTATTGAACTAGGAGACGACTGTTTTTAAGAAAAAGGTTAAAAAGAACATAACATAATACAAATTTAAATGTTATTTATCAAGACTCTGTTCGACGTTAGCTCTTTTAGGTGCTGTCTGTTGGTTAAATATAAATTAAAGGTAAGCGCAATGGTAATAATTTCCACCGCCGTCCAATCAACGCCTGAGCTGTTTGTTTCTCTTTAAGCTCATTGGTCACGTCATCTATCTGTAACAAACATGGGCGGGACATTACTGCTTCGTCCCTTTCCGTAGTTCCGATTGGTTCGGCTTCCATCTCGTCGGTTGTTGATTGGATAGATGTATTGTGGAAAAGGAGGGACTTCATTTAACATAATTTCCGTTGTATTCTTCGCTTGAAAGTCAGTGACGATTGACGGGAGTGCATTAGCTTAGGTAAGTTTGACAGAAAAAATGAATATTTAATCAAATAGGTTATGTTCACTGCATGTATGAGCACTCAACGATGTAACTGTAGAAGCGTTCTGGTTCCGTGTTAGCTTAAATCGGGTCTAGTGTTTTCAATAAGGTTCTCTGTCAAAATGATCTCGTGGAGGTCAAAGAGAGTATAAAACATGATTGGAAGACGAAGACAGTTGTAGTAATGGTTGTTACATTAACATACATGTTTGTGGCCATCCCCACGGACTGCCATCGACACTGCATGGACACTGTTAGCCATTAGAGGTAACGTTAGCCGGGATTGGCAGCGTGCTGCCTTTCCCACCTTAGATGTTGAATTGGCCTGTTTTTCCTCAATGAATTAAAAAAAAAAAAAAAAAAAACCTGGACCAATGGAGATGCTAAAAGTTAAAATAATAAACCGATTTCATCTCTGATCAACAAGGCCTTACTATGTATAGATTATTGTATTTGACTAGTGTATAATTCTAGTTGGATCCACTTTATTCAATATTTCGCAGTTTATGGAATGGAAAATACCAATTTTGTCTTCCTGCTTGGTGTTCCTGGACTTCCATGTTTACAACACAGTCAAACGGCCCTGCCGAGGAAATTTCCAGAGGTCAAGAAGAAAACGCCATGAGAGGAAAATATGCAAAACTGTTCTGGTTGACCGAGAAGAGAAGCTGAGGGCAGCTAAAGTACATAGATTGCTACTGTTCTTTTAATTATTTGCACAAACAATATATACCTTTAGGGCTGGACGGTATGGCGGAAAAACGTATCACGATAAAAGCATTTCATTTCAGTCAATATTGATAATTATAGATTAGTTTTTTCTTTTAAATATTTGAAGTACTGCCAAAACACAGTTTTTACTCCACTATGTTATGAGACAAGGTGGAAAGACCTGGAAACTGCTGCCGTGCAAGTTTCTCAACAGGTTGTTGCTAGGTAACCAAAGGGTGAGTTGATGCAACCCATCTTGTTAGCTGGCCATGAGAGGCTGAGTAGCTAAAGTCTTTTCTCTCTGCCTACATTCCCCAGAATGCTGTGTGGTTCTTGATCGGAAGTTCAGTGAAAATATTGAATATTTTTCCCCATAAATTATCAGTTGATATTGATCATGTGTCTGCTGTGATATATATTGTTATTGATTTATTGTGCAGCCCCAGTTTCCTACTATCTAATTGATTCTACCTTTATAAGGCCAAACACATCTTAAGGACCTTAAACTAAATGTTTGACTCTGTTGTCGTTGGTCTCATGGTTAGAAAGGTTGTTTAAAAAAAAAAAAAAAAAAAAAAAGTTCAGCTGGTGGTTTGTATGGGCTTGACCCTGAATTGTGTGGTCAACACTGGTTTCATTGTTTTCAAGAGGACAATGGAAGCAGGCCTGTACAGAGGGAGGCTGATGGTGGGGTTGAGGGGGGGTAAAAGAGCTTGGATAATGTATCGCTCCTTTGCTGCTACAAGTCTGTGCAAAACTCCAGTGTGAGGAAACAAAAAGACAATGTTGTGTTGTAAAAGGTTTCTTATGCAACTTTGTGTGATGTTTTCGCAGCACCTCCTGCACTAAACACTGTTTTTCAGCTCTTGTGACAACAGTGTCATTCTTTGTTTACAGTTTATCTACCGACAGTTCACAAGAAATTTAAATGTAAACAATTTACAAGACAAACTGGACCGATTTCTATCTAGTTATTTTACTTCTGTTCAACTTAAATCATCTCTCTATTAAAGCTTTATCAAGTCGTTGACAGCAACTTCTCCTCCCATTGAAGCATTTGGTAAAAGAGGAAGCCTCAAACTTTTCAGCAGAAGAAAACTACAGCCGAACCAGGATCAGTGTGAGAGCCCATTGGGCTGAAATCAACTGGAGACTGAGTTCAAGTTATACAAAACCAACAACAGAGAAGCACCGGACCTGGAATACAAGGTGTACACAAAATGTTAATGGCAGGAATAGTTCCATCAATGACTTTATCTTTGGAAAATACACAACCAAACACAGAAACACTGAACCAGAACAACTTTTTTAGAGGAAAAGGAACAAAGAGCACACCACAAATGAATGACATGCAGAGTTTGTGTTCATGGTACCTGAACTAAAATATACCTCAGTCCTTTTTGATATTTTCTTGATATTGATTATATTTCTTGCTGGGTTTTTTTTTGTCATTCTTTAAATCAAATATATTTGTATATTATTATATTGGTTATAATGTGAAGCCTATAAATAATGGCTGGACTAAGGAGTACATAAAATGGCAGTGGCCTTCAAAGCCGTCCTTCAAAACAGCATCCTGTTTTATGGTTTGTTTTTGAATTACAGGGTTACTCCCGTGTAACACGACCCTCCATCCTCAGCTGTGCACTGATTGAATTTCATCCATACAGCAGCTCAACCCCTCCACCCCCCTGCTCTGCCTCCCAGTCACAGATTTGCTGTAAAGTACATTAGGCAGGAAATACATCAGAGCAGACCTGACCAGAGTGCTGGAAAGTGTGCCAGTATCAGTGACGTACTTGTCACGGCATGTTTAGCAAATTTCAGTCTAGTTTCACACAGAAACAATACCTTGACTGTTATTTCATTAGACATACTTTTTACACATTACATACATTTACATGACATACATTTGACATATTACTGTGTGTTTTCACCTAACCATAAACTCAAAATCTTAATGTTTCATCCTCATTATGCTGCCAAAAAGAGTAATTAAAGATGTACTCTGGGCTTTTGTTCACCTTGAATACGTTTGAAATTAGAATTGCTGGTAGGCTAAATTATTAAGATGCTAATTAACTACAGATCTCTGGTTATAAAATCTTTTTAGCAATGATATTTTGAAGGTTTAGTGGTGACATGTTTGAAGCAGTCAAACTTATGTGGCGGGTTTCTGATAAGTCTTTGACTTACCGGTACCTGTTTTAGCCATTTTATGATTTTTTTTTTTTTTTCAGAACTGTTATATAATAAGATATAAGAAAGAGCATTGAAACAATTTTTTATTGCCTTTTTGCAGTAAATGCACATTAACTATTGAGATTAGAAGAAGTAGTGTAATTATCCTGCATTTTTGTTTCAGTTGAGCTATTTTAGAAGATACCTAATAATTTTTTTATTTTTTATTTAAAATGATACATGGGACATAAAAAAGGAAAACAGACTAACACCTAAGTGGCACATTCATACAAGTTTCTTACAATGGTAGTAGAACTGTGGACTGCAAAAAATATTAACTATTTATTGTTATTTTAAAGGTTTCAGGTAATAAAAAAAAGATAATATCAAAGATAAAAACAAGAAGTAGTTTCATAAGGTGATTTCAGTTTTTACAAGGAAGTAGCTGCTCAAACCAAGTAATTGCCCTCTTTACCAAACAGTCTGTTTAGCAGCAACAACTGCCCTTTGTAAGCTATTCAGGAGCCACCTTGCTAGTGTGTTTAGCATTATTGTCATTTACGTAACCTCAAGTACACTTGAGCTTACGTTCTCAATCCAATGCCTGGACTTTCTTCTACAGGTTTCTCTGATGGAGAGCAGAATTTATGATTACACCAATTAAAATAATTTCACATGGTCCTGATGAAGCATAGCACACAGAGACCTTTGTACCACCACCATACTGTTGTTGTTCTGTTCTTTTTCTGAAATAATGTATTCATGTTCTGTCAGGATGTAACACTTTTAAAAAAGTTCCAGTTTGTCCCGTCAGTCCACAGAAAACTTTCGCTGAAATCCTTGGGGGATCATCATGTGTTTTGGCAAATGTGAGACAAACCTTTTTGGTTTCCACCTTTGAACTCTCCCACGGACGCCATTTTTGTGAACTTCAGCGTCCTTCTTATTTCCCTGAATGAATTGTCAGTGTGGTCTTGACGTAATTCTTTTAGATGGGCCACGCCTGGGAGGGTTCAAAGATGCTCCATGTTTTCTTCATGGGTAGATAATGGCTCTCACCGAGGGTGGTTGGAATCCTAAAGCCTTACAAATGGTTCAGTAACTCTTTCCAGTCCAATACATGTCAGCAATTTGGTTTCTTACCAGTTGTTGAATTTTTGGTCAGGACATGATGTGTTTGTTTTTGAAGCCTACTTAATGTTGCCAGACAAGGGATTTCTCTCAGAGGGTCTGGCAACATTTGCACCAGCGTGTAGCGAGTAAAATTGAACATTGTTTTGGGTAACCCCCCAAACACTCCTACCAAAAATAATTGCTTTTAAAGTGTCTTTATGTATGTCTAAGAGTGCTGTATGGGTGACAATTTTCATGAGGGAAAATCCTAATGCTAGCTTTGCTAGCTAGCTTGCTAGAAAAGCCACCAGGTAGCTTTGGGTGCTGCCTAGTGAGCTAACTATCTGACAGTTCTTTTTGTATTTCTTCAGCTTTTCTTTTCCCAACAGTAAATGTATTTGATCAGAAACGCTTAAATGTGAAAGGGTAAGATGGAAGTAATCTTCAGACACAAATGTTTTCTCACTGCTTTGTAATTGTGGTGTATAAATGAAGTAAAGGAAACGGAAACCCGCAGTTGCTTCATCTTTTATGAGAGCTCGAACAGGGAGGTAGTATTTGACCAGCTCTATGGGAGGAGGCTTTTGCATTAAATAGAGGAAGAAAAATATTTGCCTTAGGAGGTGTTGAGCTTGAAATGGGACTAATTTGTTAGTGAGATCAAGGTTTGGTTTGCGGGAAGAAAAAAAAAAGCAATAAATTACTCAGTTGCTAATATGCAATCTGGATTGCATCATATCTAGCAGATTTAGTGACTTTCCACATTCATTTCAAAGCACTCTGTTCCCTGCCATCAAAATAACCTCATCAGATTCTAACTCTTCAGGCTGACTCACTGGTAAGGCAAAAACAGACTGAAACACAAACAAAAAGGAAATCTGAAATGAAGAATTATGTTGAGCAAATTTCTTTAAAGTTTAATCCCTTACTAAAGGAGTGCCAGCTTATTGCGACAGTGAAGGTCGTTCCTCCTCCTTAGGAAGAGGACAGTAGTGTGAGGTACACAACCAAAACAGGTTCATTTGTTTTATGGCTCACCCAAACAATTGATTAGATCAACAACAAGGTCAGTAGGTCCTGTGCTGTAGCCCCTGCTGTGACGCATCGCTATGACATCCTCCTGTTTGTCTGCAGTGGCTGTTGATGGACCATCCCTATGAAAACACAAAGCTACAATGGGACAGAATACCTCAGAACAAGAGGACCAAGAAGAGCCCTTCTCGGTAGGTTTTGGACTAACGCACGTGTTTACAAGTCCAGATTGGTCAATGACGCGTATGTTAGTGAGGTGAGTTAGAAGAGACCTGTAGTTTTCTGAGGTGATTCAGCTGTGAGGCAGCAAACATGTCATGTGACCTGTCATGATCGGCAGCCTACCTAGTCCTACTCCCGCTTCTCCTGTGGCGCTGATTGAATGGCAAACTCACTGATGATATGATTGAGCAAATGATTGTTGTGCAAAGTCCTCTTGTTAAAAAGAGCTATGTAAATGCAAGCCATTTCCTTCTTTTTGTCTTTCTGCCACATTGCTTTTATATTTAAATTATACATGATACATGTCACATTAAAGCTGAGTTTTGGCAATAAGTTAATGTTTTTTGGTGTCTGGAAAATGAGTCGTTTCAAAAACTTCCAGAATGTAAATTGCCATCCAGAAACCACTTGCTGCTTCCTTGTTGGACGACCAGGAGGCTCCACTTCTGCTTTTCAAAGACGTACGGTTGTATAATTACACATCTTTGTGCAGCCATTCTCACGTGCGATTGTAAACATTGGGGGGCGTGGCCAGCAGCAGCTTATTTGAACTTAAAGTGACAGAGGCCCTAAAACGGCTCGTTCTGAAAGGAGCTCAAAACAGGCAGAACTGAGCAGACTAATATCTCATTATTTAAGAATTAATTTATGCAAAAAATGTAATGAACATGTTTTCTATCGACCTATACTAATCTGTTCATGGAAGCATAATAGGTCCCCTTTAATCTCACAAAACCTAGGTGGGTACTTCAGAGATCCAGAGCATGTTGCACCAGTTCCGTTGTACTTTTGTCCCATCCAGCCCATTTACTGCCAAATAGCCTCAAGCTTGCTACAAACGTATAGATAATCACAGATAACACTGATAAACGTCCACTGGCTCTCTGCCAGAACTCTACAGACCAATTACCCTCACTTTTAATCTTATGATGTTAAATCTTATGGTTGACCAAACGCACACAAAGCAAACAGTCTTATCTCAGATCTCTGCCCTCTCAACAGACATGCTTTTCTGCTTTTTTAAAACTTTTTATTGATTGCAGTTATTTTAATCAAGATCCTTTTAACCTTATATTGCCAGGAAACGGAAGAAAATCTCTATGTATTTAAATTATGTCCAGCAAATAACAAGAAAAGAAAGTAGATTGAGAAATATTGGATGCGATGCAACTTTTCCGCTTTGTGCCTGGCGTTGCTGCCTGCAGGGTGAATTCCTGATTCCTACATGCTTTCACAGCTCATTGAAAGAAAGACCGCCGCCGGGTCCACGTTTCGCGCAGCAACATTGTAATTTGAAACCATTAACTTGTCGGCTTATCACGTGCACTAGCATGCCTCTGCATTTCTCTTTTGTCTTTCAGGAGAGATTTGAAAACCTCAAGACGTTTGTGGAGGAAGAGCTACAGACGAGCATGGTGAGAACAGTTTCATTTCTGTCTTCTTTCAGCCGTTTTTACCACTGCAGCAGATTTTATTACCGTAGCTAAAAGTTTAGTCCATCACTGTCTGTGAATTTGAGCAGATTGAATGGAGAACCCAGTGCTCTCATTTTCCTTTTGCCACACACACACACACACACACACACACACACACACACACACACACACATACATGTATATTTTTCTGTTCTCTCTCTCCAGATGGTGGGAATAGTTATTGGCGCTGGTGTTGCCATAGTCCTCATCGCCATCCTCATCTTCTTCATCTTGCGGAGGATGCGGCTCCGAAGTCAGTAAACGCAGATTCCCTTTTCTCAGCCTGCGCTGAAACGTTGTCATGGAAACGGCACATTATACAGCTCTGGTTCATTTTGACGTTTACCTTTATTTCGCAGACATAGAGGTCCAGGAGGCACCGAAGTACCGCTTCCGCAAGAGAGACAAAGTCATGTTCTACGGACGAAAGATTATGCGGAAAGTGAGTGGCGGGCTGGAAATGTTTAGGTTTTTCGCATCTGGTGGCGTTCCGGCCACAAACATTCACCTACTTAATTCAGATTTCATGTGCTGGATTAATTCAACGCAGAAAATAGATGAGAAAACTGAGATGGATGTTTATTTGTAATTTTGTTGTGAAAATCATGCATCACTTTCATTCCACTGATATCTAAGTTACGGTAATCCATTTGGGTTTGTGGGTAAAACACGACAAAATATGTAAAAATTATAGACATGACCCTTTTGAAAAAAATCCTTCTTAAAGCAGAGACGGATGTTTTTGCAAAAACAAACATTAGCACTGGAACCCATACTCACATCCGTTTCCCCACAGGTTTCCCAGTCTACCTCTTCGCTGGTGGGGGCTTCCTCCTCTTCTTCTCGTCCACGCCTAAAGAAGAAGCAGAAAATGCTCAACATTGCCAAAAAGTAAAATGCTCTTCATAAAAATTGCCCTCCCTTCTCTATCCCTTCCCCATCTTTAATCTCTCTTCATGTCATGTTGCTCGTGCAGGATCCTGCGCTTCAAGAAGGAGGTGCCCATCCTGCAGGCGAAGGAGCCCCCTCCCTCGGTGCTGGAGGCAGATCTCACTGAATTTGACGTGGCCAACTCCCACCTCCCGTCCGAGGTGCTCTACATGCTCAAAAACGTCCGGTAGGTTCGCGCGACGAGGCGCTTTTCGCGTTTGTAGTCGCCCGCTCGTGTTCTCGTTCCCTTACCTTGGCCGCTTGTTGTCTTGTTGCTAACCGTAGGGTTTTGGGTCACTTTGAGAAGCCGCTCTTCCTGGAGCTGTGCAAGCACATGGTGTTTCTGCAGTTCCAGCAGGGGGAGCACATCTTCAGGCCAGGACAGCCTGACAGCAGCATCTACGTGGTTCAGGACGGGAAGCTAGAACTGTGCCTTACAGGGGTGGTGAGGCTGCAGTTCACATCGCTTAACTCTCCTTGTTTTTTTGCTGTCATTTATCTAAGCTTAGCACAAATTTAGAGTTGATTTAGCGCTGAGAAATTGTAATTTTATTTTATTGTTGAATAGGTTTGTCCAAATAATTAGTGTTTTGATCAATTCAACACTTATTTGCATATAAATCTGAAGATGGGGTTCATATGGGTTCTTGAAATCCTTGAAAATGCTTGAATTTCAATGTGTTTTCCAGATTTGGAACTTGCTTGGTTTCTGTATAAAGTCCATGCAAGTGCTTGATAGTCAAGCTGGACAGTTTTGTATTAAAGTTAATAATGTTTTCCAAAGCTTGGAAAACATTATTTGCATTTATCACCAGATATTTTCATACACCTAAAGAAAAGAGGCACATTTTTTTCTCACCAAGTGAAGTTAAATCAGACCTAACTTTTCTTGTTATAGGTCAGTGAGAACACTATGGGGAATTTTAGTTAAATTACAAGAATAAATTTATAATATCAGCATAAAAAAAGATGCAGTTTTACCAGGAAAACATCTTAAACATGTTACTGTAATGATAAAACAGCTTCAATAGTTATCAAGCCTGATCGTCTTCGTCCTGTGAGACAAAGCTCCAGGCTGATGGAAACTTCTGGTCATTTCAGATTTTACATTTCTTCTATTTCTTAATAAACACACCCACAGCTACACAGCCATATAGATCACTTTCTCATTAACTTTATGCAGTTTGTCTTGTAATCCATCTCAGGATTTTGTAGATCCATCTTGTCCCTGAACTCAGCTCGATGGTCTCAGCCTTAGTGGTGGAGAAGTTGAGATTTAACTGATTTTTGTGGAAAAATTTGCCTTCTACAGCTACGATAGGTTTAGGGTTATTTGTAAATGACTTTAGCTTTTCACCAATCTTTGGGAGTCAAAGCCATTACAGTTGCAGAGGATTAAATCCCGAGTATCTGCATTCTTAAAAAGTCTCAAATTTATGTATTTAAAATAAAGGCCTTAAAATGGCTTTGCAAGGTCTTAAAAAGTCTTAAATTTGAGTTGGTGAAACCGGCAGAGAACCTGAGTCCTCTTTCACTTATAGACATGCAAATTTATTAATAAAAAAAAAAAGAGATTGGTTTTATATTCAGCATATGTCCTGATAAAGACGTCTTTTCAAATGTAAATTGGTAAAAAAGAAATGATTAAATATCTTGTGATGCCCCCCCAACCTGAATGTCTCCTGTTTATCCTCCAGGATGGCAAAGAGAGTGTGGTCAAGGAGGTTTTTGCAGGAGACAGTGTTCACAGCCTCCTCAGCATTCTGGATGTCATCACAGTAGGTCACGTCGCACAATGCAAACACACATCTGCACACAAAGGCTCCCCCTGCCCCCCAAGTTCCAGAGAAACTTCTAATCATTACCCTTAAGTGAGATAAAGTACTTTTATAACATTGGTTGTATATTCCTGACGCCGCTGATGTTTAACTACTGACTCACAAAACATTCTTCCTCTATCATGAGTCACACAGACATGCTTGATTTCATTTCAATCCAAGTTTAGTTAGACTTTAGTGCTTGAATGATGTCGGCTGCAGTGACTCTGTTGAACGTTGTTGTCTGAATGGTTTAAGAAGGAAGCAACGTTTGTTCCCAGGGCCATCAGAAGCCTTACAAAACGGTGTCGGCTCGAGCTGCAGAGGTCACCACTGTTCTCCGTTTGCCCGTCGAGGCCTTCCTCACCATCTTTGAGAAGTATCCCGAGAGTCTGGTGCGCGTAGTTCAGGTGAGTTTAGTTGTTTATGTTCACTGCTGGATACTGAAGGAGATTTCAGCGAGTAGTAGATACGCTTCCTTTACCAGAGTGAAGCTGGCTCCCTCCCTCCACCTCCCTCAAATTAGACAAAATTAGTGTCAAAAGTTTGTGCAGCAAACATTTTTTTTTTGTTTGTGCCGCCATCATTTTAAAGATATTAAGAAACGCTTCCAGAGGTCATGAAAGGTCAGCCTGCCCCCCTCTTCTACCTTCTTCAAATCAGATGAAATTGGTGTCAATGAACTCGACGACGTTTGTGCAGCAACATTTTTTGTTTGTGCTTCTATGATTTAAAGATATTGATGTCTCGTTACGGAGCCTTGGGGTACTTTTCCCCCCCTGCTTGTTTCAAGGCGATGCATAAATAACTTTCCGTTTCCTTTCTGTTCAGATTATCATGGTGCGCCTCCAGAGGGTGACAGTCCTGGCCCTGCACAACTACCTGGGGCTGACCAACGAGCTGTTCAGCCATGTGAGTTATTGGAGGCACAAAACACACTCAGTGTAGTATCTGTTATTTTGTATCTACATCTAGGCCTGTCGCGGTAAACAATAAATCAATTAATCGCATGATAAATGAAAATTATCATTTTAATTTATCGGCGTTGTCGTTTATTCCTGCCTTTTTCTCTTTCTTTTGATGACTGTGATGGACCGAGCAGTTAAGGAACAGCCAGGCACCGGTTTAAAGTAAAAAATAGTTGTTTTTTATTTAACCCAAAACAAAACTTGGGTAAATAATAGAACCAATTTGCAGTCTCAGCTGGCTTGCTCCACCCCTTCTCCACCTTTCTGCTTTCCTAAAGGATTGGAGCAGCCAGCACTGAGGAAACTCAAAAACAAACAAAGGTTAAATCAAGCAAAACGCAACAATGTAAACTCAAATGTGTGCACTTATTCTAGAATACAATGTGATGTTTTGCCTTCTAAACAAAACCAGTTATTCTGTAAATTAAATCCTAGACGTAAAGAAACCAAAATATAAGTGGGGTGAACCTTTTTGTAGTGAAAGTGAATGTGAACCTGTTGCGTGTGGTGAAAATGAATGTTACCACATTTGTGTGGCTGTAACTACAGCCATCACAATGACACTGAATGAAAAATGTGTCATATGTTGTATTCCGTTTTTTATTCAGGTGCAGTTTTTGTTAACAGAGACTCGGAGTCCATTTTATTTTTGTTTTTCGTTGCTTTGTTTATTTTGTTTACCAGTTCCAGTGTTAATTTGAAAATAAAGTGTATTTATTTTTGGCAGGATGTCGCTTGCATTATTATGTCATTACCATTACATCAGCTTAAAATGGTCTTCGAACAATTTTATCATTTATCGCAATAAATTAATAAATTAAAATTTGTTATTGTGATGGGCCTATCTACATCTATTGGAGGTCATTATACTCACAGGTCACTTAAAAAAACAACAAACAAACAAACAAACAAAAACAAAATCTTACCAAGTATTTTTGGTATGGTTTCTATTGTAATATCTTAGTACATTTGAAATAAGACAAAATTAACAAGTAACTTTTCGGTAAAAGAACTTGTTTTAAGTCAATAATTCCTTAATATTGATGAAAAAAAGTACAAAAAGTGAATTAATCTACCATATTATAACTTATAGTAAGTCACAACTGGTATTTTTTCAGCAATATGAAGGAATTGTTGACTTAAAATAAGCACCTTTATCTTGCTAAAGTTACTTGTAATGTAAGTTAGTTTTCTTATTTCAAGTGAACTAAAATATTTGCTATATAATTTAGACCAAAAATACTTGGTAAGTTTTCATATAAACATTCTGTACATACTCTGCTTAGACTAGACATGTAATCATTTCTCCTCGCTTTCTGACATTAAATGAGACTAAGTGGATGCAGGAGAAATTTATAACTTCAGGTCTTTTCACTACACATGATGGAACCTACATGAAGCAGCCCGTATTCATTTCTTCTTTTGTTAGGCTCTGATTACAGATTTTATGCCTCATGCATGTTTTCCAACGTCCCGTGGTTTCACAGGAAATGCTTCCTTCCCGTCTCCCGCCGACGTCTCCTCACGCGCCGCGCACCAGCCCCATCCGCCACGGGAAGCGATTCGGCAGCCTGAGCATTTCAGAGGAGCACCGGGAAGCTGCCGTTAAAAGTGAAGCTTCAGGTAAGCTTAGCATAATGCCACCGTGCTGGGATCAGTGAGCAGCACAAACGGCAGCAGTTGGTAGAAAAAGAAGCAACTACTTAGAAAAACAAAATGCTCGTGTAGTTTAGGCATAATAAAAACGCTGTAGCTTACCTGTGTTGGGAATTTCTTTTCGAAACGTTAATTTCCGTTTTAACTATTGTTTTTCTCGTACTGTAACCGTAGAAAACCTGCCGCAGCAAACAGACATAAGGGAACTATTGACATGTAAAGATGAATGAATAAAATTAAAACAACTCCCAGTAGGAATCTGTTTATTATTGTGACAAAAATATATCTGATATTAAGAAAGAACTGACTACATCTGAATAAAACGCAGCTTCTTACCTGCTCCTGACTTGTTTCAGTCTGAAAAGCTTGAATAAGCATGTAATATGGTGGTATGGCTCATTTTCCAGGTCTGGAGAAGTTTGGGAAAAGACATTTGTGTTTCGATAGTTTTTTCCCTACACCATCGCCAAAATGTTGTGACCTTGTTTCCATCTTCCTTCCTCTTCTCCTTATGTCCTTCCTTATTAATTGTGCTCTTTCCTTTTCCCTTGTGATCTTCCTCCATATTTCCTTGTGCCATTAGTTTTTCTTTTTGCAGACTTTCTTCCTTTTGCCTTGTTTCTTCTTTCCTTTTCCTTCCTCCTTCCTTATTTTTTCCTTCCTTGTCTTTCTTTTCTTTCTTTCTGTATTCATTTATCCCATGTTCCAAAACTTGGCCACTATATTTACCTGCCATAAAATCACTGGAAATCTTTTTGTTTTGCACTTATAAATGGATTGAAAGGACTGGAAACGCGTTGTAAAAAATGTCTGCAAAAGTTATTTCCTGTTGTTTTCTGTTGTTTTCATGCATTTTGTTTAATCACAGGGGCGGACCAAGGAAAAGAAGGAGGTCCCCCAAATCTCAGCAGGACCATTTCCATGCCAGTGGACATCTCTGGTGAGAGACTTTTGGTCCTTATTTAACAGTTTTCCAGCTTCACCAATAACAAGTTAGAATTGTTATTTACTTTTGCAGTTTTGTAGTTGAACTATTAACAGGTCTGGTTGTTTATTTCCAGTCTGCATGTTGGAAATGTAGCCCAGCTGAGAAAAATTAAAGATTAAAGATGTCTCTGTGTAACCATGGAAACATTAGGTCTGCTTTGCTTAGTGGTGTGGTATGTTTAACCAATCACTGGGCCTTTTTCATCACATGTATTTAAGCCCTAAAATCATTTTAAACTTACCCTTTCTGGACTTTATAAGATAAACTGATTGGTGCTTAAAAGACAATATTTTCAATCCAGATCGCTTTTTCTGAACCGTTCCAACTGCAGTTCTCTCACTCGGTCATTAGGAAGTAATGACTTGTTGGTTTATGGTTTTATGGCCAAACAGATGGTGAGATATGAAAATCAGCAGAGCGAAAAGCTCAGCTTGGCAGAATGAAACGAGACGACTCTGTGATGTGCTTTTTGAAGTTATGACGCATCACAATAATCTTCATTTGTTCGCAGCAGATGTTGTGCTGGACAAATCATCAAGAAAAGCAAGCGTTGATGCTTTCACTTGGATGAAAACTCTTTTTCTTATACGTGTGTTTGTGTGCAGAAATGACTGCATTGTTTTTCTTTTGCTTTTTTTTTTAAAACCAACATTAAACCAGTTTTCTCTTTTTTGTTGTTTGTTTTTTGTGCAGGTATTCAGAAAAGTGTGAAGTCAGATTTTGACATGGCGTTCGAACGAGGACGGATTTCTGTATCTGCAGAAGACGGCAACACACCTCCAACCTTCAGTCGGGTTGGTGCACAACTCAAAAAACCCCATAAGCTCACTTCTGGCTTTCCTCGCTTGAGGAAAAGTGTTTTGAGTTTCAGTTGACAACAAAACCTGAAGCCACTTTTAACTTGTGGTAGCGAGGAAGCAAAGCGACTCATCCAAATGAAGCGTTTATACAAAAGGTTCCATTTTAAAACCATTGGGTTTTCTTTGCAGTCCGTTTCCCACGAACAGCGTGAGAGGAAAGTGACGGTGGATGAAGTTCCATCAGGGATCTATTTGTATCCTGAGGAGGAATCGGGCGTGGACAACATCTTCACACCGTCGTCCAGTCGGTGCAACGCTTCGCTCTTTGAGGAAGCTCAAAAAGAAATTCTCAAAATCATGCAAATAGAGGTATGGTTTAACTTTTCATGCAGTCACAAAACACTATTTCTTTTTTCTAGAAGTGGCACCACATTTCAAAAAGTTGTTGTTGGAATGTCCAAACCAAAACCAGATCCGCCCTGGTATATTTCATCCTCAGTTTTATAAGTAGCACGTGAGCGTCTTTCTTTATCTGCAGAAAGTAAATGTGTACTTAATTCAGGATGCACGTGCATCCTTAAAAAGTCTTAAGTTCATTTATCTAAAATTAAGACCTTAAATTGTCTTGAATCCATTCAAGAAAGTGTAAGTAGGCCTTAAATATGTTAATAAAGTCTTAAAGAGATCGAGGCTATTTGATCTCATATACTCTACGTAGGTTTTTTTATCGCTGGACTTTTCTATCAGGTAAAAGCTTGAGTTGTGTGCAGATGTTTTCACTCGCTGCCTTCTACGACTTGATACAGTTAAGCTAACTAGCTTTCTCACACTATGCCATGTGAGAAGAGGCACAAAAAAATACCCAGAAATTTCTCAGTTTTGTTTCCCTGCGTTTCTTCTGCACAGCTCTGTTGTGTTATAAGTCTTAAGTTTTATTCATCAAGGTCTTAAAAAGTTTGAGTTGGTGAAACATTCATAAACCCAGTAATTACTCACTGCTTTAGCATCATATCTTCATTTAAATAATACAATAATTGCCTCTTGTGCTGTCGCATATTGTTGCTTGTCTGACTGAATTCAAAGTCCAAATAATTAGAAGCTGTAAAATTCATTTATCAAACAACTTGATGGGCCCTGGCTGTACTGAATCACTCTGAACTATGGAAACCCAATGTGTGCTTTGGTGACAAAAAAATTAAATAAAATCTGATTTTCCTGAAATTAAATATTCAAAAACAAAAAAATTGGATCAATGGATAAAACTGATTTATCTGCCATCCCTAACATTTGCATATGATGTGTAAATGCTTTTATTTTGAAATGTTAGGACTGAAACAGGGCCTTCTTACTTTGCCTTTGTACTTTCTTCTTTTTGTGGGTGTAATTTCTTTTGACATTCAACCCAGACCACTTACTAACCTTTTCTATGCAGAGACTAGTTTTTTTACTGTCACATTGTCTAAATTGTTGTTTCCAACCAACGCACTGATTAAAATGTTCGCTTGGATCCAAAAATAAAACATTTTTTTTGTGTGTGTGTGTGTGTGGTCATTCATGTATCTGAATAATGCGGCTGCAGTCAGACTCCCATGTGAAGCGTCTCCACAGTGTCATGCTCTCACATTTCGTTTGACTTTATTCTCCTCCATCTTTGTCTTGACAGCATGTCTCCTCTCTTTTAGGATCCAGCTTTGTTAAGCGGGAAAGCGACTTTGCACTACGCAAAAGCCGGAGCCGTTTTAGCGAGACAGGGAGACCAGGTAACTACTCCACCGGACGCTGATCGTAAAGGCCGTGTGTGTGTGGCAACGGGCGCGAAAACAATTTATTTCTGTTCGTCGTCCCGCAGGATGTGAGTCTGCACTTCGTCCTGTCTGGTTGCCTGCATGTTTACCAGCGAATGATCGACAAACAGGAGGCCGTCTGCTTGTTTGTGACCCACCCAGGAGAGATGGTAGGCCAGCTCGCGGTGCTCACCGGAGAGCCCCTTATCTTTTCCATTAAGGCTGTCCGAGACTGTACTTACCTGAAGATCTCAAAGTCAGATTTCTATGAGTGAGTCTTTTCCTCTTTTCTGTGGCCAAAGATTGCATAATTGAAAAGATGCTAGTTATGAGCTCGGTTTAGAACCATCAGCATGTTTTCCTCTGAATTAATCTGTTTAACCGAATCAAACTGTCTTTTTGTCATTGCCGTTCACTATTGCCCTTCGTTCAATCAGTACTCCTCCTCGTTTCTGCCCCCTGCAGGATTATGAAGGAACAGCCCAATGTGGTGCTGAGTGTGGCCCACACTGTGGCCATTCGAATGTCGGCTTTCGTCAGGCAGATGGACTTTGCGATCGACTGGATGGCCGTTGAAGCGGGCAGAGCCCTCTACAGGTTCGTCCAGGTTTTCCCTCACACTGACATATTTACATTTATTTGCAATAAAGGAAAATATTACATAAACGAATTTTGCTTGCTGTTCTCACACAGTTCAGCTGCATGTCTGTACAATCTTTACTGATGGATGATGCATCTTAGTAAACCAGAATGAAAGCTTCCATTTTTTTAAGTAAAAGTGGAATTTGGACAACTTTGTTACAATATGAAGGGATATATTTAGTTTCTATCACTTATTTAAAGCTAATTAAAAACTTTCCAATTCAGTTTCTCAGGGAGTTTCCATATTATCTCTCTTTAAATATTGAGACAAATTAAAAGAACAAAAGTATTTATTTATTTTTTTGGAACAGAAATCTTTAATCCATGTTGTGATCTACAGAACTGACTTGAAAGTTGTCCAGCAGACGGTCACTATTGCATTAGTTTGAAATTTCCCGTTGTTTCTACTGCACTTTTTCCGCCCACTAAACTTTCCATTATTATGGTTAGAAACAGAATTTAATAAACTTCTTGTGTGGCTTACTTACACGTGATTATTTAAAATGATTTTGGGGTTTTCATTAGATGTAAGCTGTTAGCATGAGCTTCCACTTTAGCTTCATCAATCCTCTGGATGTGTCTCCAAAAATGAAGATCTTTGTCCCTGTGTGCATTTTTGAACTTCAGTTTGGCTTTTTTGTGTTTCTTCTCGAGTACCGGCTTCCTCCTCACTGGGTGTCCTGTCAGCCAATGTCAGCACAGAACATCTTTCACTGTGAATAATCTGTCTTACCAGAATCAATTTGCACATTTCAGACAAAAACCAATTCATTTCTGGGACACAGAACCCGTCTACTTAGCAAAATCATGTTTGTAATTCTAAGTGATGATAAAACAAGAGAAGTTTGGTCTTTGAATTTGGTGTAAAACTTCCGGTTCCAGCTGTATGTGCTTCACAAAGAGAACATCAAATCCATCACTATGTGAAATGAATCCATATCGAATGAATTAAATAAATGTTTCAATCATATTCAGATTTATTGAGACGCATCAGTATTGGGGCTCTTTTAGTGTTTCACTAGTGAAAACGTCTCAAAACGCATCTGCACGTTTCGCATCGTTTGCGATGATGATGGCGGCTGTTTAACTGCAGACAAGACGACCAGTCGGACTGCACCTACATCATCCTGAACGGACGTCTGCGATCGGTCATCCGGAAGGCGAACGGCAAGAAGGAGTTGGTGGGGGAATACGGCAGAGGAGACCTCATTGGTGTCGTAAGCATACTTGGTTTCCTCTTCTCTTGAGCAGGCGCTCGACTCTTGAGTCAAACTCTGGGTTTTGGAGCAGGATGTTGTTTGTCCTCCAGGTGGAGGCGCTGACCAAGCAGCCCAGAGCCACCACCGTGCACGCCGTGAGGGACACGGAGCTGGTCAAGCTGCCAGAGGGAACGCTCAACAACATCAAGAGACGATACCCGCAGGTGAAACGAGCGCGTCATTTAGAACGCCGTGATCTCCGCAGCATTCACACACACTTCTGAAGCGTTTAACTAGATAAGTATACTAAAAAAAAAAAAAAAAGGAAAACAAGCAGGTTTCAGTCTTCTTTTGCTTGTGTTGTTTGAAAGATTAAAAAAATAGGAAGAATTTGTTATAAACGAGGCACTTTTCACATCCATTTTTACTGAAGTGGCATCTTCAGTCTTTGACTTGCAGCGTCACAATTTGAATTTTCGTCAAATTCATTGATTGCTTTGCTTGTTCAGAATCCACAAATGCATACATTAAAAAAAAAAACAAAAACAAACAAAAAAAAAAAACAGGATAAAACCCAAAACTTTTGTGTTCTAGAACTTGTTGTTTCAGAGTTTTGAAATGAACTTGTAGTTCTTAAATAATTGGGAAACCATAATTAATTAATAACATTTATATATAATTTACTTATTTTATAATTCAGTATCAGTTTTGAGAGCTCTACTTGTTTTCCTCTGTTGCTCAGCAGACGGGGCGATTGGTCTGCAGCTGTTGCTATGAAAGTTACCAGAGGTTTTGGGTCTGGTAACCCAAAACCTCTAAGGAGAGTTTCTCTTCTCTCCTTATAGTCTGTGGCACAGAAAACATAAAAAAAAAAAAAAAAATCATATTTACACCATATGTGATGAATCTGTATAAAACACTTCCACATTTTATTACATATGTGTACTTTTTGAGTTGCACATCATTTCTATTTTTATTTCTCTGCATTTTTATGTTATCACATGTATAAATACTTTATTAATTTATTAAATTTTGTAATTTTATGGCTGCTCTTCTGGTTCACGTTTGTTGTTTTATTTTTTGTCTTTTTTCTTAGGTTGTGACGAGGTTGATCCACTTGTTGGGACAGAAGATTCTGGGGAACCTGCAGCAGGGTCGGGGGCCGTTCCCAGGTCAGAGGGTGACTTCACACACCTCCCTGTCTCTCTCTCTCTCTCTCTCTCTCTCTCTCTCTCTCTCTCTCTCTCTCTCTCTCTCTCACTCTTTGCTCCCTGCTCAACAGGTTCGGCGCTGAATTTGCCAAGTATGACGAAAAGTGCGGATGTCACCAACCCCACTAGTAACCTCTCCACTGTGGCTGTGCTTCCTGTGGGTGACGAAGTGCCAATAAGCGCCTTTAACTTGGAGCTCAGCCACGCCCTCAGTGCCATCGGTAAATGCTCCCCCCACCCCCCTTCACTTTCTGGACATTTTTTCTCCATTTCTTTATCTCATTCTCTTTATCTTGTTTTGGTTTATTTATTTGACCTTGTCCCCGTTTGACACGCGAAGGCCCCACTCTGCTTCTCACCAGTGACATCATCAGGGAGCGGCTGGGAGCGTCTGCTCTGGACAGGTCAGTCTAGTGCTCAGGGAAACGTTTCCCTTTTCCAGCATTTGTTTTCTTTTTCTTACGAATTACAAACACATTTTCCAGAAAAATCGAAAACATTTCTAAAATTGAGCACATTCTCAAATCCTTTTTGTATATTAATTTGTTTGAAGTTTATCCAGAGATCCTTTGCTGTGTGGAAAAGTAATACATTTATTTTCCATCTTTTCCAGGCCTGGTAAAGTTTGGAAAATGGAAACTAGAGTGTGAATTTAATTTGCTTTGTTTAATTTCTTCAGATTTGATTTGATGCCTCATTGTCTAAATCAAACTTCAGTCATTTTGCCTTCGGCTCACAGACGAAAACAATTGAGCCGCAATTTCTCTCTCTACATATAATTTGCAGTTTTTAAAGAAACACTATTTTATTGCTATTTATAAGTTTTAAAGTACAAAAAAAAAAATTTTTGAAAAATGAGAAGATGAAAACATTTTATTCCATAGGATAATATTTGTGGAATTTTTTAATCACGTTTTTCAAATAAGAAACATCTAAACATATATTAGTTGTACTTTTTGGTCATTCGGTTTTGAAAATGTTATGCAATTAACTCCATTAAGAAAAAAAAAACCTTTTCTTTTATATCCACGTTTAAAAACTCAACAGTGGACTCGCGGGTACCAGCTGTGACTAACCAGCCTAGTAAAACTAAATTCTGAAAACTTGAGAGCCACTTTTTTAAAAGGAAAAAGGTTACAGCTGTGCATATTAAAAGCTCAAACATAAAACATTGTTTATTTGTTACATTTTGTTCCATTTCTCTCAAATTTAGATTATTACAGAACCACAAATGAGCGTGAGTATTTGCATATTCAGACTGTTTGCAAATGTTTTTGTGTACCGTAACTCCAAACACAACAAATGCTAACATATTCAGGAGAAAATGCAGCTTGGGAACTTGAAAGCACCTCAGAGCAATGCTTAATGACAGGCTTTCACAGCAGCCAATCCAGGTGCCCCATTCGTTTTCCTTGATGCTGATTAGCTGTACCTGCAAGAGCTAAAATAAGGAAGACTGTAGATGTTAGCTATTCAGAGTATCTTCCAGAGTGGCTGTTAATCGCCACTCTGGAAGATCCACGGAGAACTGTTGCTGGAATAAAACGCCGTTCCTCATCTCCCCGTTGATTTCAGCATCTACGAGTACCGTCTTTCTGGCTGGCTGGCCCAGCAGGAGGACATCAATCGAATCGTCCTGTACCAGACGGACAGCAGCATGACGCCGTGGACGCAGCGCTGCATCCGGCAGGCTGACTGCATCCTGATAGTGGGCGTGGGGGATCAGGAGCCCGCTCTGGGGGAGGTGCGTGTCCGCCAGCAGAGCACTGTGAGGGTGATAACTGCACCGTAACGCTAATCTCCTCTTGTCGTCGTCCCTAAAGTTGGAGCAGATGCTGGAAAACACGGCCGTCCGCGCGCTGAAGAAGCTCATCCTGCTGCACAGAGAAGACGGACCCGGTCCGTCCAGAACCGTGGAGTGGCTCAACATGCGTAGCTGGTGCTCAGGTCATCTCCACCTGAAGTGTCCCCGCCGGGTCTTCTCCAGACGCAGCCCCACTAAACTGGTACATTTCTGTACAATTAAAAAAAAAAAAAGTCTTCTGAATTAAAGAGCTAATTTTCATGCATTGCCGTTTGTATTTTGTCTCCACAGAGGGAAGTTTATGAGAAGGTGTTTCAGAAAACGGCGGACAGACACAGCGATTTCTCTCGGCTGGCCCGAGTTCTCACTGGAAACAGCATCGCGCTCGTGCTGGGTGGAGGCGGAGCCAGGTGAGTCTGAGCCCAAAGTAGTTGGTTTAAGTAGCTGACTAGCTAACCAGCTGCTAATATATATTTGCTAGCTAGCTAGCTTTCGCACTCTCCTCATAGTGACGCATCACTCTGGTTTTATATTATTTTATTATTATTTCTTTTATTATTTTTCCGGTTACACGAAGCATCAAACCATACCAAATGCTTTGTCCACTTAGTCAGCCAGAGTTATTGCCCGCGGCCGCGTGGAGATCTGAGAGATTCGTCCCTTAAAACTTGAGCAACCAAAACATTTTCTGTGACTCTTTTTAAAAACGCAGCAGACACTAAATGGAAAAGCTACGAAAGCCACATTAGCACCATAGAATTCAATCTCCTGTTTGTTGAGCATCTCTGTGCAGTGCAGCAGATTTAACTCATGCAGGGCCGGTCCAAGGCTGTATGGGGCCTGGAGCAGAATTTGACTTGCGGGCCCCTTTTGCTGCTAAAAACATCTAACAGCTTCTGGGTTAGATTTAGTAAAATCTGGGAGAGGGGGAGTAGTTTAATTGGCCAACCTAAAAACAATCAGTTATAATTGCAGTTTACTAATTTGTATTTGTAAACAAACAGAGCTCAAACTCAAAGATTAAACTCACAGAATCAGCATTTTTAGTGCATATCTAATTAATCAACGATTATTTTGTGCAACTAATGTGAAAGTTCACTTCATCATACATCCTGTGCATTTTGTCCTGCAGAGGCTGCTCACATGTGGGGGTGATTAAAGCCATGGAAGAAGCCGGGATTCCCATCGACATCGTGGGCGGCACGTCCATCGGCTCGTTCATCGGAGCGCTGTATGCCGAGGAAAGGACCGCCGTTCGGACCAAACAGAGAGCCAGAGAATGGTCCAAGGTTCAGTGCAATCCGTTGCTATGTCCATTCTTGTTCCATTTTCTCATACGTAGTGGCTAGTTTACATCTAACACGTCACCAAGAAGCACTAATGTATCAGAGCGATGGAACAGAAGTTGATGTGTCTTTGCTTTTTGGTTTAACAGTCGATGAATTCAGTATTTAAAACAGTCCTGGACCTCACCTATCCCATCACCTCCATGTTCTCCGGTTCGGCCTTCAACACCAGCATCTATAATGTGTTTGAGGACAAGCAAATTGAGGTAAGAGATGTTTTTTTTTATTTTTTTTTTTTTATTCTCTAGCAAGATTTTTCATATGCAGTCGTTTCTGATAGATTTCACCTTTGCTGGGTTTGTATTGGTGCTTGAAATCCTTAGAAATGCTTGAATTTCATTTAGCTGTTCTCAAGGTTTAGAAGGTTCTTGATTTCTGTATAAAGTCCTTGAAACTGTGTGGTTTTGGAATAAAGTGCAATGTATCATTTGATTGAAAGCCTAAATTTATTTACAGTTGAAATCAGATATTTAAAGATAATAAAAAGAGACTTTCACTCTGTCTGAAGTTAAATCAGATTAAATTTCTCTTGTTTTAGGTCAGTTGCAATTAGCAAATATATTCCTATTTGCTAAATGCCAGAGAATTTAGCAAGAGCATGTTTTTTAGGTCAGGCATGTACGTTATGTGTAATAGTGACATTTAATAGCAGTAATAAATGATATAAAACAGTGTGTTGAAACTGTCTTCTTTAATTCATTTGTGCTGTTTTTATCTCTAAAGTGGTCCAGGGAAAGTTTGAAAACTAACCATGAAAAAGCTTGAAAAGTGCTTAAATTTTACTGTAGGAGAAAAGTCCAAACCTTCATTCTGCTAATAGAACAATATTGAAAAATATGGCAGCAGTTAAAGACCCTGTCTTTAACCTTCAGGACCTGTGGCTCCCATACTTCAACGTCACCACGGACATCACGGCGTCAGCCATGCGCGTCCATCAGGACGGTGAGTCGCAGCCGAGCTGAGTTGAGCACGTTACAGAACCAATGCAATGGCATGTCAACCATCAAAAACTACTCCGGAAAAGTTTTGTATCTGCTGGTGTTAAATGTAAAAATAATAACCGTTTGAATAACCTGGAGCACAAAACGGACAAAAACCCGACTTTTGGACCGATTGGGCTTAATGATGGCAGAGATTTGCTTTCTGATTTGTACTAAAGACTGAAGCTGCTGTTTTCATAACCTCCACCAAGGCCAAACACCTGCAGTAGAAATCACACCAATAAGAGTTCACTGGTTTTCAAGAAGAATGTTTTAAAAACTTTATCAAAGCGTAAAATATTAGAAACGAATGTGACGGTAGCTTCTGAAAGGTCCATTGGAGATCTAACTGTTCAGCAGAGGTCACATCAGGCCAGAAGGTCAACGTTTTGACCATCCTCCAGGTAGGTTAGCAGGAACGTTTGAAGATCAGTGTTAGGGACGAGTTGATGCCAGGAAGCTGCAGCAGCCAGCGCAGTCTCTCTTTCACTGACAATAATTTAGTTATTAGAGAGAGAGATTCACAAAACAATGTTCACAGCCTTATGATGCATGAAGACAGGCTGGGACTAAAAGTGAAAAGAAGTCACTTGAAATGAGACTGCGTGGCTCTCTAGTTGTGAGGATGACATGAAGTTAGGCTGGGCGATATGGTTTCAAAATAAAATATATATATTTTTAATACTAGATCCATTTTCTAATTTTAAGAATTTTTTTTCCCCCCATCATTTTCTTTTCTGAAAAAGGAATTACAAATGACAGGAACTATTTTCAAAGAGTGGCTTTTGTTTCAGCTATTCCTTCTGTGAGCTGAGAGGACATAGTCACAACATTAGCAGAATAAAGACAAATGTATTTTGTTTTCCTCATGAGGAAAAATCTTGGATATCCATCCATCCATCCATCCATCCATCCATCCATCCATCCATCCATCCATTCATTCATTCATTCATTCATTTTCTTTACACCCTTGTCCCTTAGTGGGGTCTGGAGGGGTGCTGGTAAATCTTGGATATATTTTTGTTATTTTTTCTGTTGGAGTTCTCATAAAATTACTACTTCATTCTCCTGATATCACGACTTTATTCTGGTAATGTTAAGACTTTATTTTCATATTATTTCAACCTTTTTCTCACATTAAATCATACTGTTAGAAATAAAGTTTGTAGCGTTATGACTTGATTTTATTTTTTTATTTATTTTTTTAATCTGAGCCTGATCCTTACTTTTTGTCGTAATGAATTCAAAGTCGGAATAAATGGAAGCTGTGAAACTCGCTCGTTAAGCATGCTGACATCACTCTGAACCATGGAAACCCACAGAGCAAAATGGGGGGGTGGGGATCCAGATTATTCCAAAAGTTTAATCTTCAAAAACCAAAAATTTTATAAAATCGATTTATCGCCCAGCTCTAGAAACTCCAAAATGCATCTTCCTTAAAAGATCATGATTAGCACTGTAATATTGATTAATCGTTGGCCATTAACCAGTCTTCTCTCTCCATTTTCTTATTAATTCGTTTTCTAAACTGCGATTCACCTCAGAGAACCTGAGGCACTTCGTCTCCAACCCTGACTTCCAAAGACTCGTCAGGTCTTGTTCAGGTTTCTCGTTAGCGTTTGGATGAAGTGGAGGTGGTGGACCTTAAATGTTCTCTCCATCAGACAATTTAACGGCAGACATCAAAGTCCAAAACGACTTTAATTCACATGTTCAACTGTTTGCGACTCTGCACGAATAATCCTCTAATTGTGTTTGAATTAGCTTCAACCGAAGAGTTAACCAGTTGTGTGCTGCGTTTTCTGAATGTGTAAAATCAAATCCAGCGCTCTTGACTTCCAGTTAACGTAACGCTAAGCTATCTTTTGCAGCGTGGTGCGTCACATTGACATCTTGCTGCTTTAATTGCATTGTAGCTGCTGGTTTTATGGAGCTTTAGCGCTGTATTTGATGTCCTGCAGGAATGCTGCTGATGTTTGCACCTTGGCATGTGTGTGGACTAACTGCTGAAGCAAAGCCTTTTCCTCTGTCATTGCTCCCGTTATGTGCTTCATCTAGACTCTTTCTTCATCTTCTTTTCTCACTTCCTCTACACGTCCCTTCTTTTCATTAAATGCTAACTTTTTTTAAATTTATTTTAGTGTAAATATGCCTCACTCTGATAGCCTTTTAAAGCTTCTGCCCTAGATATAACCTGTGTAGATGTTGATCCTAAATCAGAAAAGTCCCCTGTTACGTCGGTGTCAACATGTAGGATCCAGAACACATCGCTTCTTAAATCGTTTCCATTACCCCCCCCAGTAACGTACTACGTTGTTTCTGTCCTATATTCACCTTCATTCTTTGCTTCCTGTAGTTTTTATTTGGTACCATTTCAGTACTCCAGGTTTGGGAAGGAAAAACTTACTGGGCAGCCATTTCAATGGCTGTCACATAGAAAGCAACTTGCTTTTTTTTCTTTGGCCGTATCCCGACATCGAAGCTACAGAGATGGCACAAATGTTACTAATTTCCCCATTAATCTCCTTTTTATGGAAAAATAATTACATCTCCAGTAGTTTAAAACAAACTGATGGTCTCCTTACTCACTCTTTCTCTTCCTTTTCCTCTCTCTTGCCGTTGTCTGAGTGGTTCTCCCCATGTCACCCGTTTGATCCAGTCTCCTAACAACACTAATGCTATGTTAAGCTCAATTTTAAAGCGCCAATCATTCAGAAGCTGACGTTCTAAACCAGTTTTGTTGAGTAATTCTCAATCGTCAACCATTAAGTTTGACTGATACTAATCCAATCAAGCTTTTCTTTGTTTGTAGTTTATTATTCAGTATTTGTCTGCCTATTTTTGGAGTCTTTAAAACAAATCTGGCTGCATTTGAAAATGTACAACTACAACAAGTTTGAATTAAAAATTTATATTTCTGCACATAAATGCTATACTTCGCTTCAAAACTTACCAGGCTTTCTTGAGGACTTTACGAGTGATCTCGACACAGTGGTTTCCCAAGTATGGCAAGCCTTTAGTATCAAAAATCAAATATTAACATGTTGTAAATGGGGTGATGCGCCGTTTTTGCGTGAAACATGTTGTGAATCTAAACATTTGGTGGTGTAAATAAAGCACGATCACGTAAAAAAATGCACAGTGGCTTAAATAATGTGCAGTATACATATTTTGTCACATTTCATACATGTTTTATCATCCAGAGGATGTTTTATTTGTGCTCAGTCACTAGATTTAGGGGCATTTTACCCACCAGAAAAAAACGGCACATCCCACTATTTATGGTTCAGAACAACATATTTTAAGTCTGCTTTTTGATACTAATAGTTTGCCATATTCGCGTTTCCATCCTCACGAAAACATTTTTTCTAATATAGGTTGTCAGTCTCACCTGCGTCCACAAAGAACCATTAAAAAAAAAAAAAGCATTTAGACACACGAAAACTCAAGGAACGGCCCAAAACACAATTGTTTTTACTTCTCCAGACCTATAAGTGGCACTAAACACGAAGTATGGGACATAAGGCTTCCACATGAGGTTAGTGATAAACACAGTAAGGAAACAAAAAATGGTTAAGTCTGATTGGTATGACACGTTTGGGGTTATGGATCAGGTTAGCAGTTAGGCTGCATGATCATTTTCACTGTCCAGAAGAATAACCAGGAGAGACATTTTCACTCTGGAAGCCCTTTTGTTCCAAATCAGTTTAGTTTTCTCTAAAATGTTGTCTCTGTGTGAACACAGGATGGAAACCTTTGGAAAAATCTTTTTAGGGTTGGGCAAAAACAAAACAAAACATGTGGACAGGGATCTGAAGCAGACAGTGAAAGAATGACAGTAAGATTATAAAAGTAATACTTAAGAGCAACTCAAAAACGAGGTCTAAGTTTTGGCCATCCCAGTAGGAGGCTGATATGCAATCATTATCGGCATGAAAGTCGTTAGGGCCTTTTTAAAAGTGCGTTTAACTCGTTCCTGCATTGAATACCAACATAAAACTTGAATGAATTTTAAAAACGGGAACAAGTTTGAAGTTGATGCACAAAAAACTTATGGCATCGTCCGATTTAAATATTTGAACATTTCTTCAATCGGAAATGGCATTGTTCATTTAAATACAATGGATTCCTACCACAGGTCTGACTTTTAATCCATACGACTGAGGTCTGGGCCATTGCTAACATGCTTTATATATTACTAAATCAGTTCTGATGTGTATATGGAAATCTCTGTCTGGTTAGAAATGCAAACTAAATGGAGCATTTCTGTTTAAGAGCAACAGAAGAAGCCCTAAGGCTTAAAGTATCATAGCTGGAGGATCCCTGAATGTGGACCCAGGGTGCCGCCTAAGAAAGAAACACCTGCTCCAAACCTCCAACACCTTCAGCCTTTGGAAGTCTTTTTTCCTCCCACACATGGACAAACAAAATCCCTTCTGGAAAAAAAGTTTTGTACTTGTATGAGAAACACTTGATTTCAGTGACCAGAAATAAGTTCGGATGGAATCAGATTTTCCAACTTACAAAAGTTCATTGAAACATTGAAACTGTTTGGCGTTCATAATGGATAAAGTGGCAGTAATCTTCTGGATTGGTCCAGACCTCAAGCTCTTTGGAAATGTATAGATTATGTTTAAAAGCAAGTTCCAACCAACCTAAATGATATCTACTGTGTCCTCTGATGAGTGGTTAGATCTCAAGCCAGATTTGTGAAAAAGCTTGATGGTGGCTTATAAAGGCATGAGCTTTTTCTGCGGCTTGGTAAGGAACATTTACCCAAAAGTCAGTGGAGGTGTATGTGTTTATTAGAGCCGGTGTATGTGAAATTGACTATTCATTATCAGACAAAATCCACAATAACTTCAAACTTGTGCACCTTCTTTTTGCTTTTAAAATTCAGGTTGTGTATCTTCTAACAAGGAACAGTTTAAATGCATTCTTAAAAGCCAATAAAGAGAGACTTTTATTACTATGATAAGTTGATCGACGTTGTAAAAAGAGAACTGGGATGCCCCAAGACTTTTGCACATTACTGTAAGTAGACTTTAGTGAGAAAACATCCCGTTTCTTTCTGTTTCTTTTCTCCTTGGAGCCTCTTTAGCTTTTTGTCTCTGTGTCTCAAGTGTTTCTTCCTCTCCGTCTTTGCTTTCTTCTCTGTTCCTTTCTCTGTCCTTCTCGTTTTGTTTTCTTTTCCTCCTCCTGTTTTTTTGTTGTTGTTTTTTCTCCACCGTCTGTGACGTGGAGTCCGGCTCATATTTGATGTGATCCTCCTTGTCCATCTCCATTTCCCCGACAGGTTGCGTCTGGCGCTATGTTAGAGCCAGCGCCTCCTACACCCCCTATTTACCTCCCCTGTGCGACCCCAAGGATGGCCACTTGCTTGTGGATGGTTGCTATGTTAACAATGTCCCAGGTCAGAGTTCAAACACCCACTCACCAAAAATCACCTCTCTCTCTCTCCCCACGTTCCCTGAATCGACGGTCAACCACTTGGCTACCCTCCTCTTTACTGTTACCCCAGTTCTCATTTGTAACTAACCCATCCTTGACCAGGCGAACATTGGGAGCCCATGGTTTGGAAGGAAATACTTTATAGATGTAGATTAAGTGTCCTGTTTTATACATCCTGTTCTAGATCCCACTGGCTTTGTGATACACTCATGTAACCCTTTCCGTTCTTAAATCAGTGTGTTGGACTATAATCCAGCTATGCAACATTTCTGAGATCTGAGATGTTGCCCGTGCATGTTTGAGCGTCTTATGCATGACCACAAAGTTTCTTTTTGTCCAAGACATTTGAGCTAAAATAATTCATTTTCCCTTGGAAGTTCATAAGATGACACAAAAAAAATTGTCTATGCTGGCTTTTCTTTTTTTTTAGCATATATATTTTTTTCTACAATAAGTTGAGGGTTAATGTGTTGATTTCGACATGGAGATAGCGATTTGTTGCGAAACTCTTCACACTCCTTGAACTTTTTCACATTTTAATGGCATTTTATGTGTTGGACCAACACATAGATTAGAGCTGGTCAGTAAATCAATGGCAACACTTATGGAGATAGATGTGTATCGATTGACAATGCATCTGGTAGAATTTTCAATACTTTTACTGAACTCCAGTCCAGAACCGCACAGCATTCTGGGTAATGTAGACAGATTGAAATACTTTAGCCGCCCAACCTCTCACTGCCAGCTAAGCTAGGTTGGTGGCATCAACTAACTCACTCACTCTTTGGTTACCTAGCAACAACCTGCTCAGTAACGTGCGCAGCAGCAGTTTCAGGTTTGGTCACCATGCCTCATAACCGCTTAAAAATAAACGACTGTGTGGAGTGAAAGCTGTGGATAAAACAGGAAATATCATATTACCAGTTTGGCTAGATATTTAAAACAAAAAAAAAAACAACTAATGAATAAATGTTAATATTGACTGATAAGAAATCCTTATCAGGATACAGTTTTTGCCACTTTGCCCAGCCATAACATGAATATAAACATTGGCCACAAATGTTCAGATTTTTATTTATGAAAGAAAACCTTTGCCTTCCATTTCACTGTTGGTCTGTCACATAATGTCCCGATAAAGTACTTTAAATTTCATGGTTTTAACATGAATAAAATGTGAAAAAGTTTAAGGATGATGAATATTGTTGCGACTCTGAAGTCTTGTGAAACACCAAACCTTCATCATGTGTTTTCTGTTGTTACGGATCGCTCTGCGTTTCGGAGGATCGAAATGTTTTTGTCCCCATGGGCTGAACTGATGCCATTCTCCTTCCCCACCCCCCGGGAGCATGTCACTCTCCTGTTTTTACTTCAATCATCTCTGCCTACAGGAACATGTTCAGCCTCTCCTGCTCAGCTCCTGTTCTCCTCCCTGGCTTTGCTTCCTTTTATCTGCATGCCAGTTCTTGAAGATCAGCTGTAAATATGAGAATATGTGTTCTGGATCCTGTTGTTGCACACTGTAAACCCTTATCTAAACCGAACAAAGCCCTTGAATCGAAATTTAAGCCGGTTGCCTCTCTATAGTCACGTTTTAGTAGGATAATCCCACCTTAGCAATCAGCATACTACATGCACAGCGGCACCCCTCGCTTTTCTCTGTGGTGCTCCTTATCCTTCCAACCCATGCAGCGTCTAGCCTTCTCCTGCCCCCTGCTGGCTCTGAGCTGTGCTGCAGGACTGAGTAGGCTGGTTGCTTCTCTGCCATGTTCACAGTATCAGACCTTGAAATGTTGTCCAGTCAACATCTGCTGCTGCTTTGTCAATAGAAACATTGCAAGTAAAGGACCTTAGCTTCCATCTGGCTAACTAAATATCTAGCTAGATTGATAACTAGTTGTATATCTAGCTAGATATCTAAATATCTAGCTAGATACCTGTCTATCTAGATATAAAGATAGATATCTAGCTAGATATTTCAATATCTAGATATCTGTCTAAATATCTAATTTAATTAGATATCAAGCTAGTTATCTAGCTAGCTATCCAGCTAAGTATCTATCTAGCCAGCTACCTAGCTATCTAGTGAACTAATTATCTAGCAAGCTAGCTAGTTATGTAGCTAGATAATTAGGCAGCTAATTATCTAGCTATTTAGCTATTTATGTAGAAATATACAAAATAAATAATTTCGCACAATTAGAAGCAATGAAGCACTGTTGATGGGACACCGTTTGGAGGTCTGTGATGGCCTCTGTGCTCTCTTGGGGGGTTGTTGCCATTTGCTTTATTACCTTTTGCATAAGTCTCACAGGGCTTCTGTGTCGGGTAATGAGGTTTGCAACACAGTCTAAAGATGAGCAGCACGGCAGTCCCAGCATATGCGGGGATCAGCTGCCGCCCTCTGGCTGAGCTCCCTCTGCTGTTTGGGTTGCGGTCTGTGTCGGCACTAATCAAATAAGGTGTAGGAAACGTTATTGAGATGTTATCCCCCCCCTTCCCCTTCCTTCCTCCTCCCTGGTGTGCCAGGCTCTCTGTGGCGCTATGTACGGGCTAGCATGACCCTCTCGGGGTACCTGCCGCCTCTCTGCGACCCCAAAGACGGCAACTTGCTAATGGACGGTGGCTACATCAACAACCTGCCAGGCAAGTACAGGTGGAGTCCCTCAGCCCCCAAAACGCTCCGTACCTCTGAATGTCTGGCCAGCTCCAGGCGGGGGGGAGGTGGAGCGATGGATGGGGAAGCGCTGTATGAGGGGAAGCCGTATTAATCAATTTACTAATGTTTACCTGTAACGGTAAGTAAGGAGACAAGGTTATATGAGGGTAGTCCAGTGGTGATGCTGAGTTTTCCCAGTCGAAAAAACATCAAACCAGTATAGATAGTTACTTAACTCATCTAATCTCAAGTCAAATACTGATTTATTTTTAGTTGAGATAACGAATCTCATATTTTACAGATTCATTACACACACGGTGATATGTTTAAATCCGGTTTGTGTTCATTCTGTTGACTAAATGCGTAGAAATGAAATTCACCTTTTGAATTAAGTAAATGAAATAAGGTTTTGATTATCTTATTACGTACTGAAATGCACCTCTATGTAAAGTTAAGCCTAAAATTATTCGTACCCCTGGCAAATTTCGATTAAAAATTGAAGTGAGCTCAAATAAATAAATAAAAGAAAACTCAGTTGTGAAAATAAATATAATTGATCTGTTTCCATTATTGCTGAGCAGATTTTTACAGTTTCTCACCTCCTGGTTGAGATGAGAGGTGGTGACTCTTTGCCATCACCTTAATCTGTATCTCCCTTCTTATTAGGTCACTTCAAAATGTTATGATTACGTTCATTCAGAAGGAAATGTAGTTAAAATTGAATAGATTAATCTAAGCTTAAATCTGCCAGGGATATGAATAATTTAAGACCATAAAGGTGAATGTCTCAAATACATCTTCCACCAGTTCAGTTTTATTTCAGTTAAATAAATGATTGAATGTTTGCTGAATGCAGCTCTGGTTTAAAGATGGGAAAAGTCAGCATTTTATTAAACTTGTAGCCATTGGTCCTGATGAATTGAAGTGGCTGAGAGGATTTTTGCCCCGTCAAGCAGCCTGGTGTGGATCAATTAAACATTGGGTGGAGAATTTGCCTTCAGTCTTGCACTAAAAACAAACAAACAAAAAAAAGAATATTTGCTTTTATTTTGCACAGCACACCAGTCTGTCCTGACAAGAAAATCCAAATTTGTTAAGTTGGTATTTCTGATTTGTTGTTGGGTTGGGCGATTTTGTATGCTGTCATTTATCTCATTTAAGTATTTCTCTTTTATTTATTTAAGACATCTATACATTAACAAAATGCAAAACTGATTGGCTCATTTTGGATTTATTATGGCGCCCAATTTTAACTTGCGCCCAATGTGATTCCCAAAGACAAGCAACCACGATGCAAATCGCCCAGCCCCACGTCTGTCATTTTGAAATTATGAAGTCAGTTTCGGTCAACTGTGAAAAACATAAATGTTATCTGTGTGTGTTGATACTGAGGGGAGGAACTTTGATTTATAAATAATTACATTTATCTCTTGAATGCATTTAAGGCAGCAGCACCTGACCTCTATTGGACTCGGGTTAAACCCAGACGTGCTGCTCTAAGCTGTATATACGTACATTGTACATTGATTAAGACTCGCCAGAGGAAATAATCTGATGAAATGCTAATATTTGGAAATTTTGTCTCTGCGTTCTTCTGATAAGCCAGACAAGAGACTTGAAGAAACCCCTTTAAATCAGTAATGAATGAATGTAATGAATTCAGCTGTTTTTATTGTATTTCCTGGCTCATACTGAAGGTTCATTGTTTGGGGGTTTGCGGATAGACTTCCTGTTTCTGTCCTTAAAGTAATTCAACGCCACAAAAATATTTATAGCCACAGAATTCTAAGACAGAGACGGAAAAGCCATGATTCAGACTCCATGCCTGTCGAACTGGATATATTCAGTTTTTATCTAACAAATTGGCCATAAATAATCTGAAGTACATCAGCACAAACCCACATTTTTGCGGTTCAAGCCCATCCAGACTCTGTTCCGCCCTGAGTTGGCGTCCAAACAATCGTATCCACAAACACGCTGGTAACTTTGCTCTGCTTTTTTGCTGCTGGTTTTTGTTTTTCCGGGTTGATGTTAAACGTCCAACAGCGGACATTGCGAGAAACGTGGGCACCAGGACGGTCATCGCCATCGATGTGGGCAGCCAGGACGAAACGGACCTCTGTAACTACGGTGACAGCCTGTCCGGCTGGTGGCTGCTCTGGAAGCGGATCAATCCCTGGGCAGAAAAAGTTAAGGTAAAGAACGGGATGGACTCAGAGTTTACAGCCTTGGAGGACTTTTTGCTGAAAAAATAAATCTGTGAAATCTACTAAAATTTCTGAAATACAATCACAATACTCCAGCTGGCCTAATTTCCTTCCTCAGGTGCCGGACATGGCGGAGATCCAGTCACGCTTGGCATACGTGTCCTGTGTCCGGCAGCTAGAGGTGGTAAAGAAAAGTGCCTACTGCGAGTACATCAGACCGCCCATCGACCGCTTCAAGACCATGGACTTTGGCAAGTTTGATGAGATCTATGTGAGTGATGATTTATTCCTAGAGCATGATGGGCATGATGCAGCTGGATCTCAGTGAAGTACACCAATATTAGAATGTTAACTTAGTTTAGTAATTCAACTGTTGCGATGATGTTTTGAAGAGCAGGAGCTTATTAAAGAGACACAGACCAAAATTAAAGGCTGTAAATTGCAACGTCAAATGTCTTAAATCACGTTTGATATTTTTATAACAACTGAAGGCAACACAGTCACTTGATTGTGACTTGATTGTTTGGAGATGTAATACACACACCTCTCCAAATTGAGTATAAACTCAAATACTTCAGTCATTGACCGTATCTTTACATATTCTATCTTCCAAAAGTTCGGCCATGTTATTTCACTAATTAGCTGGAGAAAAAAAAGTGTTTTCTAAAACTTTCAGCATTTTTGAACGTCTGTTGCAGGAGATCGGTTATCAGCACGCCAAGATGCTGTTCACCGGCTGGGCGCGGGGCGACATCATCAAGAACATGCTGAGGGATCACCGCTCAGCTGACTACAACGGCAGCAAGAGGACAGACGTGAGCCCCGCTATAACACACACACACACACACACACACACACACACACACACACACACACACACACCATGAACGCTGTTGGTTTCCTGTAGAACATACACATTCACTACAACAGATATGGATTTACAATATAAGGAGGATGATCCTTTTGTCTCTCAGATCGACACGTGTCCCGGGGCTGACTTCACAGATCTTGCGGAGATCGTGTCCAGGATAGAGCCGGTGCAAAGCTACGTGGCTACAGAAGGTGAAACCTGCTTCCCAGAACCGGAGGAAATGTCCGTTCTGCCCGTAACGGCATGTTTCTAGAACAGACATTGCTTTATTCGTGTGTTAGGGTTAGGAATAAATAAGAGTTGGAGCCTCTTCTTTGTTTTTAGTAGTAATACCAATTAAAGGGTCCAGGATCCCAATTAAATTAGAATTTTCTGCTACTCTAAATAGCACCTGCTACTAATACAGTAGGTATTATTTGTATTGTGGGCTCAGTTGAGTGATCTCTATAATGTGTGCTTTAAATCTCTGTGTCCAGCGGAGGAGTCAGACTATCTGACGGAGTACGAGGAAGATGGGATGGACCCTGTGAGAGAGGAAGAGGGGGATGAGGAAGAGCATGAGGAAGCTGAGGACCACTCCCCAGAAGAGTGGGGACAGAACGGGGTTTTCCAGACTGTGAGTCCTGATGAGAAATAAATAAAAGACACAAAAAAAGCAAGAGGTTTGTGTCTGCTTCTGGTTTCTGGTTCATGTCTGAACCGTCAAATATTCTGTAGATTATACAGGATGTTAGACTCATTTATCTAAAATTAAAGCCTTGAATTATTTTTTTTAAAAATGTAAGTAGGCTTTAAATTCGTTAATCAAAGGTCTTAAGTCTTGTCGTGGTAAGAGTATTTAATTTCATACATTCTTTTTAGGAACTTCTATCAGGCCAAAGTTTGAGCCGTGTGCAGACTTTTCTTCATTCACTGCATTCTGTGACTCAAGGTGGTCACGGCCACCGTCAACAGGCTGAAAATACCTGCTAGCTAGCTAACAAAAAAGCCATTAGCCATCGTATCACAAAGTTCCTACGATGAGCCACAAAAAGACCCCAGAAATTTCATAGTTTTGGTCACTTGCATGACTCTTGTACATCTCTGTCATGACATCGGTGTTGCATTTTATTCATGATTGTCTTTAAAAATCTTAAATTTGAGTTGGCGACCCCTGCAATTACCCTCTCCAAATAAAGTCGTATTGAAAAATACTAAAGCTACGTTATAACTTTCTCTTCATCACGTTTTGCGTACTTAGCTTCCTCTAAGTTAATTTTTCTTGATAAACTCTAAAGCGGTGACTCATTTGGGGGTTTTGTAAACTTCTAGTTGAGTAAAGTTTGACTTCTCTGTTGAAGTTTTGGTTTGTGACTGCTGGGTGACAACATTTTACCCAGCAGTTCAGTTTCCTCTCATGTTCTCCACCTGGGATGCAGTGCGGCAAATAACATGTTTTGTGTTTAGCCAGAATGTGTCGCTGTTGAAAATCTTCCGATGTCTTGCTACCGTGGTCAACTGGGCAACATCAGCGACAATAAAACTGAAACCATTGAGTGAAAGATCTGTTTCAAAGAATAACTTCTATGTTATGTTGGAACGTAAAAAGAAAACATACAGAACATTTTTAAATACGAGTTGGAATATGAGTATTCAATATTCAAGCTACAAAGCTTGAATATTCAGGGTAATATCAAAAGCATCGCCTCCTTTAGGGACCTTGTTTTCAGAAAAAAAAAAATTGTTGAAGAAGAAACAGGCCTCGAGTGTCGCACTTTAACCTTAAAATTACTTTTTTTATGCTCTGCAGGATGAGGATAAATCTGTGAGGCAACGGCGGAAACCTGCCAGCGACTCGAACGCTTCAGACTGCTGACAGAAGGCCCTGGACAAGCAGAGGACAAAATGGAGGGTCAGACGACCGAGGGGCCATAAACTCTTGACTTAAGACTTGAAATGTGGATGCCACACTCAACATCTGAAATTTCTGCAACGTCGGAGCAATGGTCTTTTTTTTTAGGGAGTTTTCTTTGTTTTTCTTCTTGACCACCTTCAAGAACCAGTTTTGTTCTTATTGTCTCATTTGCTTTAATCTCTGCGGTCCTAAATGTAAGCAGTTTCTCCTCTTACAGACACTAACCTGAACTCAATTTATACCACTAGACAAGCTCTCTAAATTTGACTTTTACAGTTAATAATTTCTAGAAAAATGTTTGATTTGGCAAAGCATCTCTCCATTGAGGGTTTGTCTTATTTCACGGTCCTCATTTGCTTTTGCGCGTTCGCTTGTGTGCGTTTTACTCGTGCCATGGTAATTTTTATTTCAGATTGGAAAAGCTTCAATTAGCTTGTTACCAAGACAGCGCTAGGAAAGCACCCTGTTGGACAGGCAAAGTGTAAAGGTAAATATATAACAATCAGGTAGGGTTTATGGTGAATAAAATAAAGCAGCATTTTATTTCACAAGAAAAACAAAACACAACTTGTGTATTTTGAATTCAGCAGAGCAAGGTGAACTAACGGTGCTTTTTCTATTCTAGATCCGTTGTGGGGAAGGGATCAGAACAGACAAAAGCGACTAGATTCTGAGCGATCATTTGTAGGAGTCAGTAACTGTTTCATTTTAGAGATCATGTCAGAATGCGTTAAAGCCTTTTTAACCACACTTCACGGCGGTCAGTGAACACGACTGCGGCACATTTGTTGGACTCGCTTCACTACACAAACAAACGTGTTGGTTCTGTTTGCACAATGTCTGCACTCAGGGTTTCTGCATATAACTTGACGTTCACGGGGAAAAAGGTAAAAAAAAAAAAACTGGGTTTTTTTTTTTTTACCTTTTTGTTTGTGTTTTTTTCCAGCTTGATTCTCCAATCGGGTGCACACACACACACACACAAAAAAAAAATCCCCAAATCTACTGTAAATTCTTATTTGGGAACGAAAAATACGCAGAAATCCCGAGTCATCTCAGCGATACTTCTGTTAGAAACTGTAACAAGGTTATAACATGTTTAATAACGTCAGTATTCATACATGTACATAGAAGGGATTTTGTAAGTTGATGCTTTGCTGCATAATAGGGAACCTAAACCAAAAATAATAAGTTGTTCTCTAAACATCTCTTCTGTTTGTTTCAGCCTTTGCTGGTCTGTTTTGTTTTTTTATTAATTATATTTATTTTTTAATTTATGCGTCTACCATTGGCGTTGCGATTTAACGAAAGGCAGTCAATTGTTGTTTTAATTAACATGGCTACAGCTTTTTTGCACTGAAATGTCTGATGTGCTCTTTGCTAGGACAAGGATTACAAAGAGGTTGTAATTTATGATGCATATTGGGAAATAAACATAACATTTACCCTGACCTGTTTGAAGTTGTTGTCTTAAATCAATTTGTGTAAATGGTGATAAAATGCAACTCACACAGTTCGTTGGTCGGTTGTGGAGGTCGATGTTTGCTTTTCGACACATGCGGCTGAAATTCTCCGCACACTGTGCAGTTTGTTTTTGTTTTTTGTTGTTTTGGGGTTTTATGTCACATTGGTGCATTTCTCAGAATTGAAATTTCAGAAACCACTTGTTCATTCTTCATATTGTGTCACTTTTTCATATCAACAAAGCAATTCAGCCTCGGGATACTACAAATTTGAAAATGTAAGATGAGAAAGATGAGAACACCTGCCCAGTACCTCTTCTTGTGTCTTAAGTCAAGTTAATTCATATTTTACATTTTTAGCAAATTCGGTAGTTCAAAGTCTTGAACACGATTAAAACATGATAAAAAAAAAACATGTCAATGCAGTGGCAGAATAAAGACGTCATGAAAACTGATCTGCGTTCCAAATATTTCTCTATCAAAGGTAACTCTAAACAAGTGGGGTTTCAGCTTTGATTTAACAGCCCTTAGTGTTTCAGCAGTTTTGCAGTTTTCTGGAAGTTTGTTCCAGTTTAAAAACTGAATGCTCCTTCTCCATCTGGTTCTGGGGGTTGCATCTTTAAGAACGAGTATGTTCACACGTTGAAAACACTTGACAATAAAACACATATTTCATATTTTCTCATCATGAATACTTCGTTAGTTTGTGTAAGAAGTTCTGTCTGTGGGAATTGGACTGCTGCTACCATCTCAATGGGGAAAAAAAAGCATCGGTCATGATTATGAAAGCTTTGGAAACTCATGGCTCCGTCAAAGAACAAAATCGTGAGTAGTTGTTTGAACAGTGGAGGAGGGGATGAAATACGCTGACCTTGGGAATATTCCCACCTGCAGTTAAAACAAACAAACAAACAAACATAAAAAAAACACTCCTTGTGACCGCCATGTGATGCTGATAAATCTATTTTACACATATTATTAAAAAAATGCTTCAAATGCATCAAAATATACTTGGCTGCTTGTGCAGAGTTAAATTATCGTATCTTACGAAGAATAACTAGACGCGTGGTGTCTTGAGAAACTTTCACAGCTCGTGAATGTTTAATATTTTTTCCATCAGTGCTGAACTGGCCATTGCTTTTTTTATTTTATTAGCCCAGCCCTGCATCGCTGCTCCAACAAACCAGAATCAAATGGCTGAATTCAGCATTTAGTCGTTCAACTCTGCAGACATGAATAACGCGCCATTTTTTAGTGAGCTCAAATAGCCTCTAACCAAATAAAACGTTATCTGAAGACCTTGGAACACAAAACAAGCAAGCTATTGGCGGAACATGTGAACAGAGTCAGCTGTGTGCGGCTATATAAGGAGGACTGTGTTTGGGCTTTCCTCAAGGCACCTACAGGTTGTTCTGCTCCAGAAATTTCTCACCATGAACTCCGTCTGGGTGCTGTCCTGCTTCAGCCTGCTGCTGGTAGCTGCTACCGGTCAGGCACCAAAACCCTGCTGTAAGTGTTTCTGGGAAATGTTTTGGATTCTTTTGGAGTCTGTCGCCATAGTTCATAGACAAAACGAGGAAAACGTGTTTAGGTTCTTTCCGTTTCCCTCCAGTTAAAGCTGCAGTATGTAACTTTTATTTTTAGAAAACAAACCAAAAAAATTATATATATATATGTTTTTATATATTTGTTAAAATTATGATTATGTTGTGATATGATACATAATCGGTAAACAAAAAAAAAAAAAAAAAGGGAGCTTCCATTTCTTTTCCCAGTGCTCCCAGTACTAAGAGCAGAAACAACCAATCAGAGCCAGAAGGAGGGACTTAGCATTGTCAATCACTCTTGTGCTCAACCTCTACCCCTTGGTCTCTGCTATGCTACAGCTGGTTCACTACAACCACAAATGCTAAGTGTAAGGCTAGTTAGCATAGCTACCGATGACGACAGATAGGCGGGTCTTCTGTAGGTAATTTTTTTCTGAGCCATTAGCACATTTAGCATCACATATATGAGGTGATTGACAGCGCTAAGACACTCCTCCTGGCTGTGATTGGTTGTTTTTGACCTGAGCGTTGCATTTTTGTAGCTGAGGAAGGATGTGGAGGAGCCTCATATCAAATTGTCACAACATCATGACGGTTTTAATAAACACGGGAAAAAAAACGTTTTCGTAAAAGTTACGTAGTGCAGGTTTAAGCTGTGTAAAACATAATGTTACATTTTTAAATCGATTTGTATTAAGAGCATTTCTCAATTATTTTAATTTGCTTTTCCATAGTTGCTCCAGAACTGTTGACTGGTGGCGTTACTGTGGTGCGTTCACTGACTTCTCGTACCTTTTTAAAGATTTTTCCTGTTGGACTCTTATCTAGATTGAAACCTTGGATCTTTGAATCTTTACTCGCTTTCTTACCGTTTGAATCTCCTCACCAGACGACTGCAGATGGACTAATGGTGACATCAGGAATAGTTGCCTACGACGCTCTGGGACAGAGGCTGCGGGCCAGACACTATGGCAACTTCGGGAATCTTACTGTGGCAGTGGACGAGCTGATGCTCTACAACCAGGTTGTACACATCAGTTATACTAACCTTTCATCTGAAGGAACCCGTCCCACAGATTTATTTTTTCTGAATTTATTTTCTTTCCTTTAGAGATCTTCAGTGTTTTCATCAGACCACAAAGATTTTTTTTTTTTCAATTAAACTTTTGAATTGGAAATAGATTTTCTTTACACCTGGGATATGTTTTTTTTCAGTTATATGTTATTTTAAAACAACTCTTTGATTGGCACAGAGAAACACAAATGAGGTTTTATGTGATTAATGATTAACTCATGCTGAGTATAATATGCATGAAAAAGAACATACATTTTTTGTCTTGTTCCCTGACCTGCAGAAACATTTTTTATTACAGAAAAATGGCACCTGTACATTTATAATGTTTATTCTTTGTTAAACAACTAAAGCAGAAATGAAAATCTTTAGGCAGGGATAAAGACTGATAAACCGCTGTCCATTCAGTATTACTATTGATAAGGCTATTTAAGACAAAATCCTAGCAATTTCATTATTTTCATCCGAAATCTATCAATAATCTATTTTTGAAAGAAATTATTTTACTCAGTGAGCTCTAAATGTGTTCTTTAAATTTATAAGAACAGATGCAGGGTTTCCCCCAGAAAAGCCTGGTGGTCAACTGTGTTTTTGTATTCGAAGATGTTAGGTTGACAGGAAATGTAAAACTATTACTGGGTAATTATAAATGTTACAGGAGGACATTGCCAGTGAAATGCTATTTAAACCCACAACTACAGAGTCTTAAAAACAACAAATAAAAACTAGACATATTAAATTCCTGAAGAAATTTAACTGGGGCCTGCCCGACATGTGCATGTCGCTTTGGACCCAGCGTTCTGACACTTAACCAATAACACGTCCATGCAAGCCAGCAAGATTGCACAGCTGGACTTGCTCTTGGTAAGAATCCGTGCAGTACTGACATGCTTGACATGGTTTACCACCAGAGTGCAATGACTGAAGCTCATGCCAGGTCCATCACCATAGTGCAACAGCTGACTTGGTTCACCACTACACTACAATGGCTGAACCCCATGCACAGTGAAATTCAGTCCGAGACTGACGACTATAACCTTTGCACATGTGGTTCTCACTCACGCTGCGAAATAAAAAAAAATAAAGACAGTGGATAATTGTTTTTTTCTAGAAAATTTTCAACCTTCATACTAAGGATTTTAATTCACACTCAAAAATTCAGAGAAATAATAAATTTATGTAAACAAAATATGAATACACCTGGGCTGTCTCTCTGTTTGGTAGAGTTTCAATCCTTATGAGACACCTAGCGTCGGTCTCAAGGACCCTGACAAAAAACCATAAACCCTAGCAAAATTTTGAAAACATTTTACGGGACCAGGCATGTGTTTCTATGTCATGACCGACTTTGAGACCAATAGAGCGATTTTTGTGGTCTTGAGGGCGAGTTAAAAATAGTTTTGGAGTCAGAAATCCACTGTGCTGTGTGTGTCTCAAAGAGAAAGATTCCTGACTCTGTGAGACACTCAGCCTCGTCTTTTGCTCGTTTTTTGCAATTTATGTCGCCATTTTAACTCGGAATCCCACTAAAAGTAATAGCTCCCTTCTCGGAGTCAAGCTGAACATTTTGATACCACTTTTGTGGGGGTGGACACAGCAGTTCAGGCCGCATTAACGGTGATGGAAATAAAATAAAGATATAAAGAGACCGCTTATTGGGTGTAGAACAGGAGGTTCCTGCCATCCATTGCATAGGCAAGCCCCAAAAATGCAGTAATAAATATGAAGTTGTGATGACTGCCTGCATCCATTCTTTCAGGAGGTCATGTATGAAATCAACTGGAGCGCTGAGAAGTGCAGGAAGTTGCCTCTGGATACCTACTTCATGCCCATGCATGTTCCTGAAGACGCTTTGCTGCTCGGTCAGACGTTCCTGGGCTCCAGCTCCTCTTGGGGGATGGGTCTGCTGACCAACACCTGGGTGGGGCAATTTCCCAATAACGGTGAGAATGAACCCTGACCTGTGACATGTGAGTCGATTCAGTTTCTACAAGGACTGTGTGTCAAATTGATTCTGGAGCTGTAAGGAAGTGAACAACATTTTATGATATTATCATTTATTACGATCATATTTTTAAGTATAAATCTAACCTTGTTCATAAAAAGAAAATAATTCCCTTTATCAATAGGGTGGTAGCAGTGTGGTGGTCAGGACCCGGATGATATGCCCGAATTAAAATAAAATATTGTATTTTCCTGCAGGAAAACGAATCTGGTTTGTGCCTTTAAGCCGAAGCACACTTGAATTATGCAGCAGAACAATGGCATGAAGCACACCAGCAAGTCCACCTCTGAATTATTAAAAAAAAAACATTTTTTTGGAGTGGCCTAGTTAAAGTCCAAACTTAAATCCGATTCAGAAGCTGTGGCCTGACCATAAACTGGCTGGCAATGCTCAAAAACCCTCCAATATGGCCGCATATTGGCTTTGCAACACAAGCTCTCCTTGAACTAATGTCATTTTTGGATGGAACATATAAAGTCGTGTTTCATGTTTGTGCAGACACGTATTCATCCACCTTCACTGAGTTCGGCTGCCTTCCTGTGACTTTGACACACTACTCTCCAAAATCAGGATGGACCACCATCAGGTTGGACAAACACAACAACCAGCTCAATGCAGAACATCAACACATCTATTTTTTCTACCAAAATAAAGTAATCCATTGCAGTAACAGATTAGTGGTTTTAAAAAAAGAAAATCCAACATAAATCTATCTTTAGCTAATAGTTAATAGACAAAGTGTAAAATATTGTCCTTTTAAAATAAATTTTGTTAAGGCAAAATTAACTAATTTTTTTTATTTCTGTTTCAGCACCTACAACTGGGTGATTGGGTTGTCTAATCCACAGGATTTCTTCGTTCCTCCTTTCTGTGACGAAGCAAAAATGGAGAAATTTGTCAAGCCGCAAAACTTCTTCTCTGCCATGGGGTCCCTGGCCATGACAGTGCAGTCTATGAAGTGAGCAGCAGGATCTTCTTAAAATTTTCAGATGATGTTTTCCTGACTGCTGACGCTGTCTAGGAAATGCTACCAATAAAAACGTTCAAATAGAAATAAAATGAAACACGATTTATGGTGTTTTTACTGGTTTTCACTCGTAAAACATGGCTGAAAACGAGCATTAATTTATGAGAAAACGTCAGATGGACAAAATATGTTCGTAAAACAGGAATATCAGTATAACAGGAAGAAATGTGGTGACCTTTTGGTGACCCACGGCAAAGCAGTCAGTGCTAGTTCTGGGCGTATCGATCTAAATATCGATACTATCTATACCAAGGTGAGTACTGGTATTGTAATGAGATTGATATTTCTGTCTGCAGTTTCTCTCCCTTTATGTCCACATCACAGAGTTTATATGCAGGACTTAAAATGCCAAATATCAATACATTTTCAATACTAGCAGAATTGTATACCTTTGTAGTGTTTGACAATTTTAATAGGGCTAAATATGATTTGTGTTAGAAATAGTACTCAGACCTCATGTATGCAGACCACAGTTAGTGACTTAGTTAATAAACAGTTGTGTAGTAAAGGTGAAAAGTGAACTATCTTATTTATTTTCTTCTACATTGCTATGTTGTAGTTGACTACAAAACACAGTTATTTGCCAAAACTCTTGCCCCTGTATTTGATCATAATCATGACAAGGTGAAGTCCAGTCATTACATTATTCAGTGATAATGACATTTCAAGATACAATTATCAGTAGTGGTATCTGTTTCGGATCCGATACTGGTCTCGATATTAGTATCAGCGATACTTTCCTTGTATTTATACAGTATCAAATCTATACCAAAACAGTTAGCCACGCTAACTAGCTAACTGATTGAAGAGGGCAAATTTTTGCAGGTGAAGTTTTTGCTGTTGAATTTAAAGGGAATAAAAATATTATACATAATTGCACAGTGTTAGAAATTAAATTTCTAAACAGTCTGATTCCCATGAGACTATTTCTTCCACACATTAATAACTGAGCGACGGTTCTCTCATTCATTAGAGGTTCCTCGCACATTACCTCTCAGCCTTGAATATTTGTGAGTCGTCTTCTTCTAATCATCGTCTGTTTGGTCAGAGGCCGTCCGTCCACGCTGTCTAAAATTACTCATCTGCCTGGTGTGATTAATGCGATGCAAGTCTGCTCTGGAAGCATCAGCTGCAATAATAGCATTGCCACTCCAATTATCAGACTAATCGTTCTCTGAGCGCACTGGCTCTGTGGCTGTGTAGGAGAGGAGACACAATTTACTGTACCTGAGCATTATTGAGGGAGACACTGATCCATGGTTGTTAATTTTCACACTGAATACATTTACAGGCCTCTATTTTAACATAGATTCTATAAATATTGAAGCACCAACTTCAGCCAGAGTGAATCTACCACAAACTTTTTAAATCAACTTACCTCCTCAAGGCTGTGGAAAAATTTTTTCTTACATATTTTTACCCTCCACTCAACTTTCCAGTAATAGTTTTGACTTCCAGTGGTGTTTAGATTTTAATGGTCTGCAATGTTAAATTCATAGTTTACATCAGATGCATCATTGTAAAGGGATTTATTTTGCCATTTCAAAACATGATTAGGCAAATCCCTCTCTGTTAATTTTGGCCCAACTTTAAATATCTGTGAAAACAATTTTGCTCTAGCAGTTTAACATGTTCATGTCAAGATATTTATAGATATATTTTGTTTATCTAAGCAAAAGCACATTGATTGCTAAAAAAATATGTCTAAGCCTCACTCTTCAGCTATTAAATGAAGAAAAGTATTATTCTTTTGTAAAACAGAAATAAAAGGACAAATTAAACAATGTCCATGTTAGACTTGCTTAAAATAGACACTTTGTTTTTGGCAGCTGGGTTAGTAAAAGCCTGAAATAATAAAAGTTATTTGCTTTTGTTTAAAAGATTAACCAAAGTATTCACAGGCAACAAATGATTAGTGGGGTTTTATGTAAAACTGTATTACCTACTGTCAGTCAGCAGGGGGCGGCAGTGCTCTCTACCTTCTTCTTCATGGTACACGTGAAGCTCGCTTCATCTCAACCAGACTGCACTTTCACTTAAAAACAAACCGTATTTTATTTAATAATCTCTTTTTCTAAATGAACTTTATGTACAGCTTTTTATTTTATTATTGTTATTAGATTAGTGTAATCTTTCCTTAAAATTAAATCGGAAAAGGATGAATGTGTTCCAAAAAGAAAGGAAATGATGTTAAATGGTTTGACCAAAGGTCAAGATTGAAAGGTCACAGAGTGTGATAAACTAAGTGTGCTTTTTAATTATTTACAAATATTTTTTTGTAGAAAGCATCCTGCCATGAACATGTTACTATTGCTAAAAAGATTATTATTATTATTATTATTATTATTATTATTATTATTATTATTATTATTATTATTAAATGAAAAATGAAACAAAAATTTGAAACTTGCTGCCATGGCTAATTATGCAGAACGCTGTTTTTCATCATTTGTATTTGCTTTTTGTTCTTTTTTTTTCTTTTTTTGTAAGAAAGTATAAATTGAAACATCTAAACATAAATTATTTTGTGAAATGTGCCTGTCACTGGAAATACACCACTGCAAAAATGATAACCAAGACAAGAATGTTTATTTTAATCAAACAGCTATTGAGACAATGCATTATTTACAATCAAGACAAACAGAACATATCCCAATAATTACTCAAACCGTAACGTAGAAAACACCCAAAGTGTGAAAACACACCCTTGTCTGCCATGCAGCCCCAGAACCAGTAAAAATATGCGCGGCGTCCTGGGGAAGGTTTTTGACTGTCCGCACCTGCTGGGAGAGGGAAATGGCAGAGGTGACTTTTCACAAGAACGAACTGACCTGTCACGTTTCACCTCGTTCATCTGCTCTCATCTTATGCATTTATGGTTTAAACAGTCATTTAATTTGATACTGAAAAGTTAGATGATCAATTTGACCTTATAGGAGAAAATGATTAGATGTTAAAGAAGCCACACCCAAACCAAACTCCTGCATTCAAACAATCAAAATAAAATGAACTGAAACCCAGATGTTGCCTTTAACAGTGACATCAAATCATCATTAAATATAAATGTAACAATGATTCACTGTTACACTTATCCACACATGCAAGAAAATCAAAGCAAGTTTGATCACAAATGATGTTGAGTAAAAGTTTCAGATAGGAAAGGCAACGTATTGAACATATTTATACAAAAGCCTTTGTTGGTAATAACAATAAGGAGACATGAACCATCCTTTGTTGGTTCTGGGGGTTGTTTTTATTTTCTCTGACTTCTTTCCATCAATTTTCAATGTGATAAAAGAGCGATGACTGACCCAGCCGTTCTGTTTTACTTTATTTCCACAGAACAAACTGAGAGTTTCAGCAGTTTTAGTTTAAAAATCCACACTTACTACTTCTTCATATCCTTGCTAGCAATATCCAGTCATCCTTCAGTTTTATGAGATCTGCTGGTGCCATGCGCGTCATGTAAAATGCACACCAGATTATTATTTTATCCCAGCACTTCACTGACTTGTTAAAATATTCTGTAGGAAACTTTTAACAAGCTTAACAAGGACCTATTCTTCAGCGGTGGAGTCTGGTGCAGTAAGAAAATATGAATGATATTGTGGTTGAGTGCATTTCTTATGCTTTTTCTGACAGAAAAAAAAATATTTACATTTCCATGACTTTGTGATGAGCTTTGGGATTTTTCTTACATAATCAACACTTTGACTGGATTACAGCAGAATAATGTTTTTCACCTTTTGACTTGGACGGCATCTACCAAAACATTCAGAAGTTTATACATGTAACTCCACTGACTTTAGATTTTGTGGCTTTTCCATCTCTTTGCTTGGGGACAAACGGTTTCTAAATACTGAGAGATGTCAGTACTTATTCCCTTACCTGTTCCAATGTTTTGTCCAACTTTTTGTTAGATTGTTTTTTTTTTTCCACTTCTATATGTGGATAACTTTTACTGTTGCTAAAATCTGGTGTGGATTTTAAGCTATTAGATGAATATTTAAACTAAGAAAAAATGTTGACATGTTTGATGCCTTACCCACTGAATGCAGTTTCAGCTTTGTTGCATCTTCCACCTACACATTCAGATAACTCCTTGACATTTTACTCTTCTTTAGTGAATATCTCAAAAGGCACATTTAACATACTAAAAGGCTGAATGCGTCCTCTGTTTCTTCTTCTTCTGCTTCCAGTAACGACACACTAACCCAGTGAGCGTCATGAACGGTTCTCTCATTCATTAGAGGTTCGTCGCACATTACCTCTCAGCCTTGAAGATTTGTGAGTCGTCTTCTTCTAATCATCGTCTGTTTGGTCAGAGGCCGTCCGTCCACGCTGTCTAAAATTACTCATCTGCCTGGTGTGATTAACGCGATGCGAGTCTGCTCTGGAAGCATCAGCTGCAATAATAGCATTGCCACTCCAATTATCAGACTAATCGTTCTCTGAGCGCGCTGGCTCTGCGGCTGAAACGTGTGTAGGACGAGAAGCTGCTGAGTCTGAGTTGCAGTAAGAAAATGACATTGTTAATTGTCCATTCCACTCCCAAATATTGCCAAAATCCACCTGAGCCTGAATGTCGATATAAGAGACGCAACAATGATGAATCATTTTGTCTCTGTGCCAGTCAAAGGCAAAGCCTGTAGAAACACAAAGCAATTCCTTGAAAACTAATGGTCTAAATTTAAATGGAAATTAAGAAAAGGACACATAATCAGAGAAATCAAGTAAATTAACATATAATATGAATTATATCTATATGTGATATAATGCTGTGATTTTGTTTTGCAGAGAAGTGCTGCTATAGGATTAAATATTTTAAACCTCAGTTTAACTCGAGAATTATAGACAAGACTGCTTTAAAAAACACTCGCATTGGCAAATATGTTTTTCTAATGACATCATTTTGAGAAAAAAAAATCCAACTGGATTAAATTTGTTCCAACCTAGAATAAAATAACACTTAACTCTTCTTCAGTGGAGAAATTTCAGGGTAATTTGTCAAATTAAAAACACACAGATACAGTTGAAAACA